TCTAATCTAAGCACAGCTCATAAATACCATTTATACAATTGCAGTGTTTAAGGAACAAAGGCATAAAACGGGCTCTCCCACTCCTTGCCAGATGCTGCACAAAGCACTAGTGAGTACCTACTTTCCAGGTGAGAGTCCTAGTTCAGGACAAAGTCTGTTCAGATAAATAAGAGAGGTAAGCACTGAAGTGACTCACTTGATCCCCGTAAGCATGACGGCCAATGACGATGGGTTTCACCCATCCAGACACCAATCGGGGGATGTTCTTGCAGATAATAGCCTCCCTGAAGACTGTTCCACCTAGGATGTTTCTAATGGTCCCGTTAGGAGACTTCCACATCTGCTTCAACTTGAACTCTTCTACTCTTTTCTCATCAGGAGTGATGGTGGCACACTTGATGCCAACATGATATTTCTTTATGGCTTCAGCAGCTTCCACAGTCACTTTATCATTTGTAGCATCACGATGCTCAATGCCCAAGTCATAGCTGTAACAAACCCACAAACAGTCAGAATTGCCCAGGGCACTGGTTCACATCCAATAGGAAAGAAACCAGAGCCCATAATTCCAGCACTCTGCCATAACTGAAGTTATTCCTCTCCTACTCCAGCAGCATCCTCACTAATAGAACACACAGGCTCATATACTGATATTTCAACAGTGGGAAGGTACCCAAAGCACAGCTTCAGTTTATTGGCTGAGCCTATCTTCCAGCACAGGACACAGCCTGCACCTTTGCTTTCTCTTTTGATTTTCCTGGCAATGGAACTTCCCGCCTGGTTTTCTCATGGTATGGAACAGCACAATCCCCAAGTGAATATGGGCCTTTATTTTAAGTCTCTTGAACTGAGGGTTTCTGCTTCCTTACTTTACTGAAGTACACAAAGCAACACCAGGCTTCAAATTGAAAACTGCTTTGCCAATGAATCCACAATCCTGCTCCGGCAGCACAACTGCCAATAGTCTCCCTCAAGCACTCAGGGGAAGCACATTTCCTACACTCACTGTTTTAACAGCTTTCTGAGACTGCCCAGCGTGGGACAGCCCTGAAGCACAGCCAGCTCTGCATGAATCTAGCCATTGTGCTGGCTCAGCTAGGGGTCTGCATCGTCTCCTCCTACCCTTCTTTGAAAATAGATGTCCTCCAGACTGCGCATATATATTGTGCTGCTGAGTTCCTGTTTGTCTGCGTCTCAACAGTAGCAAGGAGAAAGCATGATGTAGGTGGCATACAAATAACTTCAAGAGCAGGGTACAAGGTCAGACCTGTGGGTTTAATAATGGCAGCTACCACGGAAGTCCCCTTTCCACACAGAAGAGAGCAACACTGCTGGATATTTATCTAATAATTAAAACTTACTGGCTAGAAAGGAAAGGAACTGTTTGTTCTGCTTGACCAGATGCTACATACAGCACGTTCCTTTTGCCATACCAGCTACTAGTATTTGCTTTTCCCAGAAGGGAGTGTAGAGCACAGCCTAGACTCAGGGAACAGTTGCAACAGTTAGCTTACACTGCCAGCAGCACAGGTCAAGCTTTGAGGAAATATGTCAGAGTTTGTGCCCTACAACCACACGTTCACCTTCTGGGCAGGTCTTCAGAGATGGAAAGAAGCTCTAGACCTGCTCAGAGTTCACAGGTGCTAGGCTTCAAACCAGGGAATGGCTGAAATAACCAATGATCCTAATTCTTTAGGCTGCAGGAAGCCATGCAGACTGCCCAGGGACTGGAAAATGAAGATAGAAGAAAATGCAAACCATGACTGTGAGGGATCTTCTTGTTAAGCATTCACTGCTAACTGCTGTGAAGAATCCCCAGAGGGACTACCAGGGGAGAGTTAACCAAAGTACCTTCACCATGAGCCTACATTTTTCACAGTACTTAGTGAGATTGGTCCTTGAGGTAACAGCAAGGAGTCAGCCTTGAATGTTACTGGTATGAAAAGGGCAAGTTAGCCTCTCCACGTAAGTGCTGGAGGAGCAATAAATGAAACTTGAGCAATGCTTAATGATACATGCAAATTGCAGTACCAATTGGTTGGATGTCACAAAGAGCAATTACCTGTGCAAATCCAGATCTACATAAGGAAAAATCAGCTTTTCTTTAATTAATTCCCAGATGACCCGTGTCATTTCATCTCCTTGCATCTCCACAACAGACCCTCCATGGATTTTTTTAGACATCTTGATCTGCAGTAAAAAAAAAAGTCCTAAGTTAAAAACTACCAACACATGTATTCTGCATTTTTAAAACACAATTAGAGATACTAACATTGCATACATAACCACTCCTGAAGTCTAAAACACAAACAAAAAAAACCACAACACCACCAAAGCAAAAAACAAACCTAAGTAGTATTGTTCTTAGAATCCCAGCTCCCAGAGAGATCTGGGGACAAAGTAAAAGGTTAACAGTTGAGATTTAAGGGCAGGAACTTAATTCAGAGCTTGAATCATGGTTTTTAAGGAATTTTGAAAGCATGATCAAACTCTTTCCACCCAAATTTCCCACCAGTAGATGGGCACTTTTAGAGACTTCATCAGCTCTAGTCCAGTTGCCTGTTTTTCCTATTAAAAAAAAAAATGCAGGTTGACATTTATTATAATGACAGCTCAGACTGCTGGCACTAAAATCAGCACATCAGATTCTTAATAGATTCCTTCTCCAGGGAAGAAGGAAGCAGGGACACACTGACAGTATCTTCTTCTGGCAAGTTTTGCTTCAGTTGCATGTAGAAAACAAATGTGTCCAGTATTTATTTGACCAGAAGTTTCCCAAGATATTTATTCAGCCTTTAAAAAAAAAAAAAAAAAAAAAGCCACTGAACTCTACCCCTCCTTTTGTACTTTGCTCCTTGATAAAAACAACAAAAAAAAAAAACACACCCCGCAATCCACTCAACTTCTCTAATACAGTGCTCTGCTTTTTTTTTTTTTTTTTTTTTTTTTTTTTTAATTATCCAGTTCCTTGGTCTCAACTCTAATTATGCAAGAGCTATGACTTGGCATTTTCTTTCCCCCCAAGACAGTCCAGTTCTTGTACGTAGCTGCTGGGATAGTACAGTGAGACACCAAGCCCTTGTGCCTGAAATTACAGTCTAACAGACACTGAGCTCCATGAATGGCTTTACCTAGATGAACAGGCTCAGTGTTCAGTAAATCACAACCTTGTTTGACCCAATTTAACATGAGCACATAACATTGAAAAGTGAACCGTCAGGCACTTCTATCCTAAATCTTGTCTCATACGAGGTCTTTCTAGTTCTCAAGAGAAAGTTTAACATCATTTGATCACACTGCATTTATACTCAGTTTACTTATACAAGCGTTTTGGGCCCACTTTCCAGGAACAGCAATGTAAATGAAGACTGTCTCACAGTCCTATAGCCCAGGCACAGGTCATTAGCCAGGAGCCTCTAGTTTGGCTTTTAGCACTCACACAGCCCGAGGAATTTTGGTCATTCATTTAAGCCACAGCCCCACCCACCATTACTCATTTTGTGGTTTGGTCCTCACTTAAACAAGATCAGACAACCTCAGTCTTCTCACAGCAATAGGTTTTGCAAAACTAGCTTAAGAACTCTGCAGCGGTGTTGGCATGAGGGAAAACAAAGATGCGCCTCCACTGAGATATATCCTCCTGGAACAGTGGAACAGATGCTTCCCTGGGAGCTGACAGCACCCTGGAGGTCTCCCTGGTCACAGCCTCAGTGCCCTTCTTCTCTCAGTGGCATGGCCAGCTTGCCAACAGGTGAGCTTCCCTAAAGAATTCCTTTGGACTTTCTTCTTCTGGCACCTTTTCACTTTGATTTTGCACTCCACAGAGATGCCAAAGGTTAGCAAGGGGCCTACAAGAACCTCCTTCCACACTTAACTCAAGCTGTTTAAAGCTTCGGCGAATCCTAACCACTCCTTGGTTTGCAGTCGCTAATTAACTATTGCGACACCTCGCAGCACAGCCGTACAGGAGCTCTCCGGCTCGGGCCCGCCCGTAGCGAACAGCAGTGCCTCCAGCCCACCGCCCCTGCTCCCACCCCGCCCATGACAGCCCGCCGCAGCCGCGCCCGAGCCCAGCCCAGCCCCGGGCCGCAGCACGGAGCGGGCCGTCAGCAGACAAGCATAGAGGGCTGCGGGGGCCCCAGGCGAGCCGTCAAGGCACCGGGTACTGCATGATGGCGAAGGGAGGAGCCCCGCACCACAGAGCGGCTCCGAGGAGCCGGCAGCCAGCGGCAGATGGAAGCGCTCAGAGGCACCCCGATAGAAAAGGGACCTTTCTCACAAAAAAAAAAAAAAAAACCAAAAACAAACAAACAAAAAAAAAAAACAAAAAAACCCCACCACGTTAAAGAGCAATAACAAACGACTAGCCCCAGCCCAGCCAGAAACCCGGCCCGCAGAGAACACCGCACCGGAGGACAGAAGGACAAAGGCACGGCCGCGGCCCGCCCGCCGCAGGCAGGGCTACGTAGCGTTACCTGCCAACACCGCGCTCCGCCGCTCAGCACACTGAGGGGCCGGGCCCTGCGCGGAGCACTTTATGGGGCCGCGCCCCCGCCCCCCTCCGGCCCCTCCCGAGCCCTCCTTCTCGCCGACCGGCGCCTTCCCCGCCCTCTCGCAGTGAGTGGCGGCGCGACGAGGCGGTGGAAGGGGAGGTGCCGAGGCCCGGGCGCTCCGGGGGCGGGAAACGCGCTTCGCTCGGACCGGGGGGCGCCCTGCGCTGAGGGGAGCGGCGGGCGCAGCTGGGAGCGGGGAGGAGCGCCGTGAGAACGCACCCGCCCTATCGCGCTGCGGGCGGCGGTCCCGAGTGCACCCGCGGGGCGGGTCCCGCTAGGAGGCCGCCCCGCCCAACGGCCGCCGGCGGCTGGTGGATGAGCGCGGGGCCTCGATTAGCGACGCCTCGGTCCGGTCGGCGGGCGATTGTACGTGGCTGCGGGCGAGCGGGCGAGCGGGCGGGGCGGGGAGAGGCGGTGCCCGCAGCCGCGGCCTGCGCCCGGCCCGGTACCCGCGGGCGGCAGGTGAGGGTCGCGTGGTTCCGCGCGGTATCTGGGCCGCTGTTGGCGCGTGAGGCCCCTCGGCGAGATCCCGCGCTTCGCTTCTGAGCGCCGTGTCCAAACGCGCTTGGCCCCGGGGGCTGCCTCGGTGCCGGCAGGTTCCCTCCCTGTCCCGCGCCCCTGCTGGCGCTCTGCCGGCGGGCAGCGCGTGGTCACTGGCGGCGTCGCAGCTGAAACGGCCTTCAGCGTGTTCGCCGCCGCCTCTCTGTGCAGAGCCGCGCGCGCGTCTGCTTTGTGCCGCCGCCCGGTCCGTGCCTCCCGCCGCGCGGAGCCGGGTGCCCGCGGGGTCACCGCTGAGGATCGCGCTCCTCCCGCCGGCTTTAGGAGGCTGCTACTGCCGCCGTAGAAGCAAGCAGGTTGTTTTGCTTCTCTTTTTCTCGAAGGTGAAGTTTATTTTCCAAACCCGTGTATGTGTTACGTGCGTCTACCAGAACTCGCTTGTTCTCCTGCCCTGCCAGGCCGCAGCCGACTGCTGTGAGGTGAATTGGGCGGCCGTGGGACTGCCGTTTGGTTCTGTAAGGGTGCTTTGATTTGGTGCTGTGGGCAGGAGCACAGGCACCTCGTGCGTGCACTGCTCAGAATGGAAATTAGCATTAGGAGTCATATGAGTGACTTAGATATATTTTCTGTTGTGTGTTTGTTGTGGGAGCAGCCATGCATGTAGTGCAGCCTGTTAGCATGCTCGGTGTCGTGCAGAAAAAATGGGGGTTGTTAGTGGGAGTTTTGGAAACTTAGATGAAAGTGTTCCAGACATCAAAATGGGTATATGCTGTAGGAAATAGCTGTGGGAACTGTGACTTCTGGAAGGAGCACTCATCGGCTGCCAAGCAGGAAATCGGCTGTTAAACGGTTTTGATCCTGGGCAGAGATAAAGGGGGTCAGCTGGTCACATCAGCTCCCTGTGTTGTGGCTGTCAGATGTTTCCCAAAGTCTTGCTTAAGCAAAGATGAAGGAAGTAAGTAACTTAGCTTGTACGAATAGCATTACCAAAGTGGAAGATTTCAGGGGTCTGTTGGATGGATGAAAGCTTTGATATACAGCAAGTGGGGTCAAGAAGTATTACTTTTTTATCACAGCCCCCCCCCCTTTCCTTCTACTCTTCAAAACAAGGAAGTTTGCAGGTGTTAGATATGGCAGCAAATAGAACACAGCTTGGGTTGTTGTGCATGCGATTCTGCATTGTACCGCAAAGGGAAGGAAATTGTATGCCACCAAACAGTCTTTCCATCCTGCTTTAATGTACATTTCATTGTATTTCCCATTCTGAAGTTAACCTGGCCAGAAAAAGAAATGTATCTCATGCTTGCTGAGGTATACCAGTTTAGTCGTTATGAGGGCTGCAGATGTCACAGTGTTAATGCTTTCTCTTTTTTTTGTCTGAAGTTGAAACTTATCTGCATGCATTTGAGACTGCATTTGAAAAACTCAAATGAGTCAAATCCCATAAAGCGATAACCAGAACGTGTTGTCAGGCTCTGTGGATGTTTGCTTTCTTAATCTTGTTGCTGAGTCTTTAGCTAGCAGCTTTGAATTGCTACCTCTTGTGGTGCTGCTGTCTTGTCACTGACCAGAGAGGGGACTTGGACCCCTAATCCTGGCCCTCTGACCTGTGCTAACAGCAGCGAATATGGTAGGAGGTGTTGAACATTTCCCTCAGCATTTGAGTCACCTCTTTTTTGGTTGACTAAAGAGATCTGCTTCACCACTTTGTGTATAATGTGTGTTGCTGAACTCTTTTCAGGGTACGTGAAATGGCAGCAGATGACAAACGGTCTCCAACACTGGATTCTACCAGTGATCTACCTCGTTCTCCTAGCAGTCCATCTCATCTCACTCACTTCAAACCCCTGACTCCTGACCAGGATGAGCCTCCTTTTAAATCAGCCTACAGCTCTTTTGTAAATCTCTTCCGTTTCAGCAAGGGTAAGTGCTTGGGAGAACATGTTTACCTGTGTCTTGTGCTGTCTGTTTTATTAAAGGTCTCTCCTGTCACATAAACCCGTGGAAACACCTCTGAACATAAGAGTACAATGTATGACCCCAGTGGATGGTGAGTCAGTCTTTTGTACGGGATGTTACATCTTGCTCTTGGTTGACATTGTAGAGCTTTGCCGTGGGAGAAGATAGCCAACATCTTGCACCTGAGCTCTGTGGCTGCCTGTGAAGGTCAGAGACAAGCCAGTCAGCAGACAAAAATGCACAAAGCTTCTTATCTGGCTGTCTGAGTGTCCCTTGCCTGTATTAAGTTTTCAGGGCCAAAAACAGCGGTAACCATTTGCCAGCTTATGTAAGTGAAATATCTGCTTGCCTTTCCAAAGCAATTTCTTATTCCAGACTTCTTCCGCTCCTCATCTGCCTCCATACCTTTGTTTGGGTGGCAGGCAGTGGAGCTGCAAAGAAGCACTGTATTTATAGCAAGTCCATTCTTAACTTGTCTGACTTAGGTGCTCTTCATCAAGCGTTGTGAAGGTTTTGTATATTAGAATGCTGTAGTTGATGCTGGCCTTTGTGCTGTGTCTATAGGAAACATTTATTGTTAGGCAAGCTCTTAGAGACCTGTGTGAGTTCCTGGTTTTGGTTTCTGGAAGAACCTTGCATAGAATAGTGGAAGAATGCACCTGAATGCATCCTGCAAAACCTACCTTTGTCTTTGCTGGAGATGGCAGCCCAGTCAGCTGCTTTTGTTTTATCTGTTCATTTTCCAGGTCTGTGAAGCATACTTTCTGAGGAAAGGGAGCCAAGATAGGTTTTTGCATAAGCAAGCTGATCTGTTCAGTTTTCTTAGGCAGGATGAAAAATAATTGCTTGATATGACTGCTGTTAGTTTGTACAGTAGAATATCACCTGTCCTAATTAATTTATTGAAAGGAACTGAGATTTGGTCAATATTGGTTTAGTTTGTTTGGCTCTGGCAAATGTAGCTGGCGTCAGCAAAGTACTGTTTTGAAAAAATGTCTGTGAACCAGCAGACAAGATGGGCGTGTTACTGGAATCATTGAGAACCTGTCTATGCTTGATCCTCTGACGGAGAAGGGTGGTTTATTACAGACTGTTCTAACTTTAAAGGGACCACAGTACTGGCTGCTAACATAACTGAAAATCTCCTCTGAGGGCAGAAGCTGATAATAAAGGGTAGCCATTCCATGTTAGAAATAGTTCCTGCTCGCTGGTTTTTTTAAAACACTTTTCACATCGGGGGTGTTTCTAAACTGATGTTTTTATGGCACTTTTCGGACTAAAAAATCATGTTTTGTTATGTATAATAATGATCCAAATGAGTGTTTTGCATATTCTGTTGATTTTCTCCATTGTATCTGAATAGTTGTTTTTTTGCTTTTTGTCAACTCCAGATGATGGCAGGCTTTCATCCCCAGCGGAGAGAGCAGAAGCAGCACAGGCTGATTCACAGGCACTGAGCAGCAGCTGGTCCAGTCCTCAGCATCCCCCCAGGGCTCAGTCTCTGAGGTCACCAGTTACGTACAAAAAACAACTAACTGGTGAGCTGCAAAGGCGATCTTCCTCAACCCTAGGTAATTGCATCTCTTTATGCTACATGGGAATTGTACCAGCCAGTCTGAGTTGCTTTGGAATGAGGTGAAAGGAGGCGAACAGGGGATTCGTTGTATTGTTATTCCAAGTACTTTTCAGAAAATTAATATGTATTCTTGGGTTTGGGTGAAAGTATGCTTAGAAATAAGAGTTCCATCAGGAAGGAAATAAAACAAGACCAAACTGAACTTGCTGACTTCTTGAAGAAATTTCTGCAATACATGGTGCTGAGTGGCCTGACTCAGGATAGGCCATCTTGTGCATCTGCTCCTAACCTTGGTGCTGTAACAAACATGAGCTATGTAATTCAAGTAAAAGCCTACAGGTTGGGTGGAGAGGCTTTGCAGGGCTTTTTCAGGTCCACGTTGCTGTATTTGAGGATGGAGAAATCTTTGCCTTTTCCCTCCCCTCAAATCAGGCTTTACTTTTTTTTCTAGAGACAAGCTTTAGTAAATCAATTCTCATGCTTTATTGTCTTAAGAGGTACTGAATGTACAGATCTTTGAGGTTTTCCAAATATGGAGCAGAAGAGAATTTAACTTCTGCCATTGCAGCTAATGCTGGATTGAAGAAAAAAAATCTTATGAATTGTTCTCCTAACTAAAAAGAATCGTGAACTTATTTGTAATTCTTACTGCAGGTATTATTACTTGCTCAGACACCCAAGTATGAAAGTAAGTGATGTGATTTACACAAACGCCTTGATTTGTAGTTCAGTGCACCTACTTTGCTCAGTGTCAGTGAGGTGTCTGATCTAGCTGGGTTTTCTTGTAACATTGCATCTGCAAGTTTTGAGTGTTTTTTTAGCCCTGGCCTCTATTCTGAAGAGAATCTTCTGAACAGCAGGGATGAGCATAAGCGGGAGAGCGGTTAAGTCCTTCACCAGCGTCTCCCTAGTCTACTTGAGTTTAAATATTATGTCAATTTTAAGCAAACTGAAGTGAGTAAATAAATAAAAGACTTGGAGCAAGGCTGCTGGTGGCTCTAAACAGTGATGGAATGTAATTGCTTCTGATGATGCTGACTCCTACCCTTCATTTATCCATTAGCTTGTACTGTCCGCACGGGAGATATTTTTGTTCTCAGGAGCTGTGCTGTCTGGCAACGGCAAGTTCAAGACAAGAAGGAATGGTGGCTTTTGTAGGAAAGTGTCTAGTATCAAATGTGTGGGATTGCAGTTGTGTTTCCTTCAGGACTGCTACATCAAAACATTATTTTGGCATGTAATGGCATTTGTGAAAATAGGAGGAAATGCTGGTTATCAGGTTTAGGTCAAAGATACTCAGTGGATATGGCAGAAAAGCCAGTACTGAGGGTCTGCGCTGACTTGTGGCTTCCCTCTAGGGCATAGATGTGCAACCTTTTGGCTTGTCTGGAGTGCATTTAGTGAACAGAAATCATCTTGGGCCACATATACCTAAGTTGCTCCAAAAGTAACGCCTCCTTTTTATTTTCATGGAAATGACAATGTATACAAATAGCACGATAATACTATTTGATAGTGCAAATTTCCAGCTACCAAACGCTGTTTTTTTTCAACATAGCTACCACCATTAGCTATGCATTTTCACTAGTAATGAACAAGAGCCTGCCTGACGTGCTCATAAATCTGCACCAGCAAAGGTGACCCACTGTCACCACTACTGAAGCACACCATCCACTGCATCTCTATGCTCATATTCACTGTTTGGTCTCCATAAATGTTCACAAACATCAATGAATGTCAGTGGGTGGCATTTTTTCTCATGGAAGATTTCAGAGACACCCTTTTCTTCATGTGCATTTCCATGTGAGGCACCATTTTGTCAGGCTGCGCCCCTCTGCTGGTGTCTGTCACGCAGCAACAAAATGCAGTGGAGTATTGATGAGAAGGTTCAACTTCTACTGCCATACCACCAGCATTCACCCCTAATGTTGTAGACCAACGTAATAAAATAGGAGTCACTGCTTTCAGAGCAGCCTTCACAAAATATACGGTATTGTTAATATAGAAGTAATGAAACATTTCAATGTAAAATAATTTTCTTAAACCGTTAAACAAAGAAGAGAGAAACAAACCCATAAAAACTATTGGGATATTTGGCCTTATTTCTGTGAAACTTGCGCACCGGTCGGGTTCAGTAGCAGTGGTTGCAATTCTTAGTGAGGTCTCAAGGTTCAGGGATTTTTGGTGAAATTTCTCTCTTCCTGTACTTCATCACTGACAATAATTGTTCAAAATGTGTGTAATTCCAAAAAGCAATGGCATGAGTAAGGTGTGATTGTGAAGCAAAAGGTATTTTTCTCTGCTGAGATGGGAGTTATCAAAGTTATCAGATTTTTGACTTGATTGGACGTGCCTGCTCTGGAGTAACGTGCTGCACCCTTTATTGGCAGTTCAACTGAAGAAATTGAACTGCTGTTACTGAAACAAAGCTGGCTATACTGGAGTGTGTGTGTGTGTGTGTGTGTGTGTGTGTGTGTGTGTGTGTGTACTACGTGTGTGCTGCCAGCTGAGTGCTTTCAAAGTGTTTGATTGAACCTAAGTAGTCTGGCACTGAGATGATGTCGCTGCTATCAAATCCAGTTTAAGGAGAATTAGATGCACTTTAGATGACCAATTGGAGAGGGAGCATTGGTAGTAAAAGTGATTCTAACTTGTTACCTGAGCAGCACAACAGGCTGTTGGTGCTACAAGATTATAGCAGACTGACAGTTAAGAAGGAAGGCAGAGGAGCTTTGTAGACATGAAAAAGGGACAGCAATCATATGAGGAGGAAGAAGGCCTAAGGAAATTATGTAGTGGCTATTAGGAAGCATGAAGAGCATGACCTATTATCAGAGCATCTTTTTCCTTGAAAAAGGCTTTGGAGAATGACATGCTTTGCATCTTCCTCAAGTCACTGGATTAGAGGTGTTCAAGCTGTTACAGTGATCTTGAATGTGAAACTGTGTGTTTTGGCCAGGAAAACTAGAAAGCAGTTCATGTTGTATTACCAAAACTGTGGTGTTCTTGGTAGGTGTATGGGAACTGCTGAGCCACGGCCTGCACCTCTGATTGATCACCTGAGGCGAGCCATGAGTCAGCCAGAGGAGCACAGGGGAAGGCAATTCACCTGCGCTGCTGGAAGGGGTGGAGCCTGGCTCCCACCCTCCTAGACCTATTTAAGAGCTGGCTACCAGTGGGGAAGGATCTCTTCTGGAGATCTTCTCTGCTGGTGTTTTGTGAGTGAGCCCAGGATAGGGGTAAGCCTTCTATTTATTGTCTTTTGTTATCATAGTCTGCTTTGCCTAACTCTTGTTTATTTTGTGATTATAGCGTCCTAACATTCTTTGATTATACAGTAGGGTTCTTTGTTTATTGTTGAAACTGTGAAGTTCTACATCCGATGTTAGTGTTTGGTCAGTTCAGCAAACCTCTGTGAATTGAGCTTAGGAGAACATGTGAGCTTAGTTGGTGGTTATAGCTGGAATAGTATTCTATATTTCTAGTGATCACAGTCCACATTCAGATCATAGATCAGTAAGATGAGGCAGAAAACACTGTATTTCAGAGGATGTGTAGATTTTGCTGCTATGAATACATGTAGGAAGGATGAGGGTTGCTGTTGAAATGTGAGGTTTTATTTTTTTTTTGTCTCGTGGAGTTAATTTTTAACTTACGGAGCACAAATGGCTTAGAAATAAGTCAAATTGGAAGTCAGCATGGGGTTCATTTGGCATACAGAGTCTGTGTTCAGGAGCTGTGTGGATGGGAAAGAAATAGAAAGAAAACGCAGTTGCTGCTGTGTAAGTTTGTACTGGTAAAAAGACTTCAATGTTTGTGGAAGTGAAGGTGATCTAATGATGTATCTACTGCTGATGGCACGTTTTTTGTAATGCAGATGACAACCTTTTGACGTTGCTTTGCATAATACAGAAAACAGCCTTTAAGTAACAAGAGGCCCAGAGAGGGTTAATATGTGATATTTCCTTAGCATAGTGTATGTTCATAATTTAGCAATCACTTACCTTATAAGGTTTGTGGTTAATTGGGCAGGAGACCTCATAATAATTTCCTGAAAAAGTCACTTAAATCATCCTAGAAAAACTTAGTTCTGTTAGAAAGCAGCTTTTAAATAATTTCCAAGTGGCTAGCCACTGGATTTAAGTACTCAGATCTCGTTAAAGTGATCCATTATGTATTCTGTGTTGTACAGAGGTCATGACATGCACATACAATTAACTTAATTAGCTAAAAATATCTACTGAGAACCTGAAGAGAAAGCATGGAATCTTGCAGTTTTAATCACATTGCTCTAAGGGTTTTGATCTCCTGCACACAGAGGCACAGCTGAGTTCTCGCTGCAGTGCAACAGTTAACAGCCTTCTGCTGGTGCTGTCAGAATTCCTGCTGACATCAGTGGTCTCTAAAGCTGTAAACAAAAAGCAGCCATGTCTGTTTTTCCTGTACTGAGGGAATCAGATTAAAATGCTAGTCAGATGGAGAGCAGCGAAGCTGGTAAGAAACTTTTAAACTATTCAAAAAAAAAAAAGAGTTTTTGCAGAAAGGTGACTCTGACATCTTGGTTAAATACTGTCTGCACATAGTGTTGGTTAAGCACTATCTGCAGATCCTTTTTGGAGAGAAAGACCCAGATTGTAACTAGTACAGTAACAAATTCAAAGCAGTCTAGCATTTTACAGGGAAGAAATAAACTGTATAACATTCTCATTCAGTAGTCTCTTTACTGTAGTCAAATAAGAATGCTTGTACAAGTTCTCAGCAGCTTGACTTTTTTTTTTTTTTTTTTTTTTTGGTAGAATATGTAACTTCTGAACAAATTTTATTGTGAGTTACTGAATGTAATAGAAACTGAGTTACGGAGTTCTTAGACTTGTTGCAGTCATTTGTAAGTAAGCTAAGCTTAAGCCATTGACTCATATCAGTCCTAGAAGGAAGGTAACAATTTTTGCAATTATTTTGTGAGTATTTATATCCTAGAAGGCATTCTAAGGCAAGGCTTCACAGTTTTCTAAAATGATATTACAAGGTTAATATAGTGAACTGAAAATTATTTCTGTAAAAGATGTTGTAGTTCTCAGAATTTAAATGGGTTTTTGTAAACACTTAGAAAATATCATTTAAAATGCCAAAGTAAGCTGTCAGACATCAAAAGCTCATTTTGGAGGAGAGGAGCGTAAGGGTAAGAAATGATGCACACTGTAACTTTGTGAAGTGCCTATTCATGCAAACATTTCTCTCTCCAGTAGGGTTTCGTGTTGCTGTGTAAATGTGGTGGTGCCATGGAGTAAGTGTTATTACTCTGCCTTCCTTTGCAGACAATCGAAGGAAAGTGGAACCTCCTCTGGGAGGTCATGATCCTCGAACAGCAGTTCAGTTAAGAAGCCTCAGCACTGTCTTAAAACGCCTCAAAGAAATCATGGAAGGGAAGAGCCAGGTACTTTTGAGGGGTTTGTATGACAAAGCATCTAGAAACTGGGCTGTGTACTGAGTTCCTTGATCTTCATTTTTTTTTTTTTTATATATCGTGAAGATTTTTTCAGATGTTCGATAGATGAGCGAATGAACTGAGAACTCATTGTGTGAGTGCATGGGAAATCATTTAAATTGATGACAGAGGTCATGTCAGAGGTCTGTAATGGTTGTTCATTTTGTTGAGCCTAAACTAGATGTTCTCATTTATCACTGCTTCCCATTTCTGTATTACCTTATCTAGTATTACCTGGTTATTTTCTTCCTTGAAGGCACTCCTTGGGGAGGAGAAACACATTGCCTGTGAGAAAGAGTACAAGGGATTTCTAGGGATGAATTAAATCTGTTTACTGTGGTAATGACTGTTCAGCAACATTTACTTGAAAGTCTTGTTCTGTTAACCATTTTGATTCAACTGACTGGTGGCTGCTATTAATGTGCTGCTTTTGCTTCCCTCTGCTGTTTTGGATGAGGCCTTTAATGGGAGGATCTAGTCAGGAGAAGAAACCACAACTATTTATAAGTCATGATATAAATAGCTGTGTCTGAGAACACAAGGCATGAACAGGCAGAAGTATATTTAATTCAATTAAATTGGAAAAAGGCTTTTGTCTCTGTAGCTTTGCAGGCTGTCTTTGAGTAAACTCACTTAAGTTTGTTAAAGAAACTGCTTTGACAAAGAGTGATATTTTTGGGAGTGAAACTCAGGCCTTTCATTGCAGTTAGCAGGACACTGAGTACGGCCCTTACTTATTTTGTAACTTTTGGCATATTCTGAAGGCCTTGGAAATGTTATCGTTGAGGTGATTGGGAAATTAGTATTCAAACAGGCAGGGTGCAGAAGTAAGCAAGTCTAGATTTTTCTCTGGAAGTGGTCTTTCAGTTGTCAGCATACTTGACGTGTGTAGACACGATGGTGCCTTGCTGCCCCTGCCTGCAAACTCGTCTTGCTTGAGTCACTTCAGGTAAGTTTCTTTCCGCTATGGAGTTAGTTCTAGAGGAGACCACATCACTCCTAACACTCCATAACATGTGTAGAAGGCACATGTTACATCCTGGAAGGTACTGCTCAGAGTAACAGGTTTCTGTTCTGAATCCTGCCTTGTAGGTTGTTCTTGCTATGAGTGTTGGCTTCAAGCTGAGCAAGGCAAAGAGCTTAGAAGATGTTTCTAGTTTCCTTCCTCCATACTTCTCCCAAAATACAGAGAAATCAGCAATGATTGAGTTTCTCAACACCCAGACATAAGTAAATGTGACAGAAGCAATGTGGTTGAGGTCATGGACAGGGTGCTGGAGGCTGTGCATGTGGATAGAATGTTCTGTGGCTAGAATAGCTGTCCACAGGGTAGAACCAGAGACTTTGTTCATCCTACAGAACCACAGCAAAAACTGTTAATCAGCATCCTCTGCAGCTTTGCAGCAGGTCCTTGGCAAAGCTCTTCTAATTTTCTCTGCTTAAAGTTTATTTGTGTTCAAGTTTTCTAGAACTTGTTTCTGGCCTCTTTCTGTTCATGATCTCTTGGATAAATACATCATGAAATTTTGGTCTTTTTGGCCTCAAAATTGTTTTAGCAGCTGTGTTAAACTTAACTTTGTGAACATCCAAAAATAAATGAGAATTCAGGATATACCTTTTCCTTATGTGAAAACTGGAGTAAGATCAGCTTTCTTTTCTGTGCTTATTCTTGGCTTAAGAAAATTCAAGCTGTTCTTTTTCTTCGTAAGAAAAATCCCTTGTATTCAGTTCCTCTAAAAGGGCTCATTGCCAGAATTGAACTCTAGCAAAGAATGATTCACAGTCAGAGCTGTCACGTGACCATTAGCAGTTGTCCTCATCCATGGTGACTGTAGCTGATGTGCTCAGAATTATAATTGATAGATTTCTCTCACTTTGTTTATAGCTACATCAGCACATGGAGGTTTCACTTCTTTGTTTTCAAACCTTAAAATTCAAGACCAAACTGTGGCTGCACCCATGCTGTGTAATCAGTATATGACATTATCTGCTGAATGTGTATTCTGCAGTTATCTTCACATAGCAGTTAACGTGGAGCTTTTAAGCTACATCAGTCTTGGAGTTAGGTTTTACAACTGTTTGCTGAACAATGAAGAATTTGGCAATAAAACTTTATAGTTTTGTCCTTTATCATTTCTGAAAACATCTTAGTGTTAGCTATTGAAATGATCTCGCATTGCAAATTCCTGATAGCTTAATTTACCTCTGAAAAACTGAACCTCAGCTGATACTAAGCTGTGTTGGTTGAAAACCTGCTGTGCAAGGAGCAAGTGAAAAGGGAGAAGCAGTCAATGCTTTGTTTGTTGCTTCTTGTCTGTTATGTGTAGCTCATGGTTTTTGTTTTGTTTTTTTCATCTTCTGGTTTCCATCTGCATTGAATCAAGAAGGCAAATCATTTTTGAATTTAATCTCACAGTTAAGAACTGTCTTGGTCTTCTGGCTTTCTATAAAACTGCGTGAAAAAATAACTTCTGTGCATGTGTGTGTTTATACTCAGTCTGTGCATGCACAAAGGTGGAAAAGTGATATTATCTTTTAATGTGCACAGCTTACAAAGCAATCGTTAATCTAAACATGCTTTTTTATTTACAAAAAAAGTTTTCTTGTGTTGCCTTGCTTTGTAGGACAGTGACTTGAAGCAGTACTGGATGCCTGACAGCCAGTGCAAAGAGTGCTATGACTGTAGTGAGAAATTCACCACCTTCCGTCGGAGGCACCACTGTCGGCTTTGTGGGCAGATCTTCTGTAGTAGATGCTGCAATCAAGAAATCCCTGGGAAATTCATGGGCTACACAGGTAGCTAGGATTTATTCACTGAGAAGTAGAACATTCTCTATGTGCTCTGCTGTTTGTACTATTGTGTTTCAGATTCTGACATCTCCTAGATAATGCTGTACAGGTCTCTAACAAGCTCAGAAGTAATTTTCAGGGATGACAGCACCCAATTCTACCTTTTCTTGCGTGTGTTGTTGGATTGTGCCATATCTGCTTATTTGTACCAACACTGTGATGACAAAACAAGTGTGGTCACTATGTGATATTTGCTTCAGAAAGTGGGCCATGTGTTCTAAATGGAGTACAAGGGAAACTCTTTCAAATGCTAATTGACAAACTGTAGATGTCTCCTGATGAAAATTCCTAATTCCAGACGTTGATTCATATGGTCGCATCTTACTAGCAATTATTGTACCTCGTTCTCTTACTCTCCTAACTAATCTGTCACTAACTGATCATGTGTTAGGCATCATTTGACTTGGAGAATTTCCTTTGGTGTATAATTATCTGGGGTTTTGCTCGTAAGGGAATAAGAGAACTAGACTTTAACATGCACAGATGTTTTGAAACAGGAAATCCTCCTCTTTCTCACCACTGCACACCTAATCCTAAAGGAGCAGCATACTCTTTGTTCCTGTTCACTCAGACGTCTGGTTCCTCTATTTGTAGGGGATCTCCGAGCCTGTACTTACTGCCGCAAAATAGCCTTAAGCTATGCACACTCCACAGATAGCAATTCCATTGGAGAAGATTTAAATGCTCTGTCAGATTCTGCGTGTTCGGTGTCAGTGTTGGATCCTGGTGAGCCTCGCACTCCAGTTGGGAGCCGTAAAGCTAGCCGCAACATCTTTCTGGAGGAGGATCTAACCTGGCAAAGGTAAGGTGAAGGGCTTTTTGATGAGTTCTAGAGTCTTAAATGAGTTTTCAGGCTGTCACGTGCTGAGACAAAAGCTGCTGGTTTAGGAGCGTGTAGAATTAGAACAGGATTTTAATCCTGTGCTTGGTTTTCACATTCTTCTCATCAAATTGAAATATGGAAACTTTTCTAGTGAAGTTTTAAATTATTTGATATTATGTGATTTCTGTATGTGAAGTAGTTTTCATCAGAAGAAAAGCTGGGAATTCAGTCTCTTCCTAAAATACTGTATATAGAATAAGGCCATCTCCTCCTGTCATGTGCAACAAAGAAGTGAGAAAAGTATTTAGGAGGGTGCTGCTGTATTTGTTTGTCTGATGGTACTCTAATCTTTGAACAGCCGGAACACAAAAGCATGCCTTCCTACTTCAACTAACTTGAATTATCATTTCTTTTAAAAGTTAAGGAGTAGAGTATTGTGGGCAAGTACAGCAACTCAGACAATGTGATATTGTATATGTTTTCTCAATAAGACTATTTATTGTGTTGGTAACATATCTACATTTCAGAGCACAACCAGTACAGTCGTAGGTGGGAGTGCAGTGACTTGTATCTCAGATCTGCAAATAGGAATTCATGTTTTAGGTGTTTGTACATTTGCTCTCCTTCCTTCTGGTCTGAAGAGATGCACAGCAAAGGTGACAGTGTAAAACAACTACAGAAGCTTTTTTGGCATCTTGATATGAGCTTTTTAGTAGTAGATACAGATATCATTGTTTGTATTGCAAAGATGGTGTGTTGGAGATAGTGCTTTGCAGGTAGAGGCATTGCCCCTGAATAGCAAGAAATAAAAATGGGAGAAACCTATATGAAAGGGATATAGGGAAAGAGGACATACTGATGTAAGAGGTGGAGGTTGAGCAGAACATAAGCCTGAGAGTAGAACTCTCAGGTGTTGTCCCCCTGATTTCACTGGCCTACAAGTGGGGAAGGATTTCCCTATTATCTCACTGATTTAACTATAGTGGATGTGAAGGTAACATTATGATGAACTGTACTTGAATTGGAACTGTTCTGATGTTACTGCATGTGCCAGGTCTCTCAAACGTCTGTAACAAACCCCTTTCTCCTACAGTTTGATTCACCCAGACTCTTCAACTACAACGCTGTCTGCACGCCTTGGGTCTGTCCAGGAGGATGCAGGGAAGTCTCCAGCTAGGAATAGGTAAACTAATCATATCTGCATATTTCCTGTTCTGGATGCACTCATTGCATGCTCTTCACTGTAAAGCCTATATTTTGCATTTTGTTTTTACTGAGCATGCTATTTCTAAAATGAGACTCTTTGGGCTAAAAGACCACTTAGAACACTTACTAGCAGGAACATGTACCTACTTTGAGGAACCTGTAGTTTGCTACTAATTCAAATGGAGATGATGGTAAAGAGGAAATAGAAGAAAGGAAATGGCTAAAAAAGGGAGATATCCAAGGCAGCTGAACAAAAGGGAGTAGCACAGAGATGTAGTACTGGGAGGCAAGTCTGAGGTCGAGAAGGGGCAGAGATGTGTGTTTTTTTTTCCCTGTTGCTTTTGTTTTCTATTGTTTCCCACCCCCCAGTCCCTGTGCTGATCCAGTAAATATGATCTTGTTAAAGTTACCTGGTTTTCTTAGGCCAAAGGCTCATTGTAGGTCTTTATACAGCACAATTCTGGAATGAATTTGGAATGTTTATGAGAGCTTTTGTGTAACTTGTGAATGCTTGAGCTTAATCCTTTTAAATAGTCTGGTATGAGAAGAACAAGTAATTTCTACTTCACAGTGCTTCTGCTATGTTTCTAGTTAAATACTTTAATTGTGGTTAAATTGGGGAAATAAAGACGAGGCATAGATACGAGGAGCAGAGCAAAGACAATCCAAATTTCACTGTTGGAGCCAGGAGACATTCAACAACTTGTTTGCATTGGTGTTCCATGAATACAGAATGTGAAGTGGTTTGGAAGTTCTGGCAGGGACAGCAAAGACTTGAGGACTCAGCTGTGGAGGATGCCAGGTGTGCCTTTCAGGGAATGGACTACTTCACGTGTGATGGGGACAGTTAAGAGGATGTGAACACCAACTGTACCTCTGAGGAGTGAAGATCTCACCTAGAGGGAATAAAACTTGGTGAATAAGCTAGTGCCAGATGTCAGTTCTGGGCAAACGTGACAAGGAGTCCAGAGTTAAGTTCAGTGGTAAATATCTGCAGTGATGTCAAGAGACCTTGAGGATGTTGTTCTGCTTCTTGTGTGAGTTGACATTGTGTACTTAAGAAGTTTTTGGTGTTTGTTCACACATGCAGTGGGAGGAAGATTCTAAGCTGGCTCTGACAGGGCCAAACTGTTAGTTAAAGGTAACTTGCTCTGCCTTTTCGTGACCTCACTGTGGTATTTAGCCCTCTGGGCTCACATTTGAGGAGTAATGATCAGATATAACTCACTCCTGCCAAAACTCTGAACATGTAGAAACTAAGTTGTGAGGTTTTTATTTAAAGAGTTTCTGTCGTTTGTAACTGTATTCATAGAATCTCAGGGCTAAGCAATACTAGCTTTTAGATCTTCTCAAAGCAGCTTTAGATATTTGTTTGAGGCAAGATTGACCATACTTCTTTCTAGATGACAGGTACCAGAGAAGGTGCAGGCTGGATGTTTTGTTACCTTCTGTTATCTGTGAATGAGAGAGATGTGATACTGTTTCTCAAATTAATGGAGGAGGAAGTATGTCAGTTAAATGTTGCAGAGGATTAAAACTTTTCTATGAGTTATTTTAAAGGATAGAAGTGGCCTTTGCAACATCTCCCTCTGTCTTTAGAGTAGCCAAATACGTTTGAGTTCTGGGTATCATTGATGTTGATCAAGATGTAGATATGAAATATAGTGTGACTATTCTAGCTCTTACTTAATATAGTTTTACATAAATTAAAAATCCCTGCTGCTTACAGATACGTAGCACGGTTAAAGTAGCTCTTGCGAAACAACTTAATTGTGGGCTTTAATGTCAATCTTGTATTCCACGTAAGAATGTCTTCAGTAAAACTCTATTATTCTGCCTGGCTGATTCATCGATTCGAGTTCTTTTCAACTTACAGCATCTGAAGACTGGCAGAGTTTTAACTTGCTTTGAACACCTAGGATAGAAAATGTCTGCTATCATGCCTTAGTGTATACAGATACAATGCCAAGACACTTTCCTTTTGATTCGCATGAGTGACTTAAATGGACTCCTGTTCAAGAAAAAGAGCAGGAAAAAGTAGTGATTTTGTGCCTTATAGTACCTTCAATTCCTACTTCCTTGCAGTAATTCAGCTTTAGCTTTTTGCACTTGGGACTAGCCACATCATCCTTCGAGAACTCTTGGGAAAAGTCATTGTGACTGTTAATAGAGCTTGCTAATTGGCTATCTGGGATTTGCTCCAAAGAGTAAGAACTGGCAACAGCTCTTGCCACTGAGGCTGCTGCAGGCCTCTTGGATCAGGGCAGCATCGAAATTCTGATCTTCCCTCTGGTTGTGTGCAGAAACTGTCTATGTGCACTCCTTTTGGCACTGTTAGCATTCCTAGCTTATACTGCATATATACAGCTGCTGTGAAATGAGAAGAGTTTGTACTCTGTTTATTCAGTGGCTTAATCTAGCTAGGGGGGTATTGGAGCAGAATTATTTGGAAAATGTATTTGCATTTGTGGCTTTGCAGTGATTATTGCAAAATGATATGTTTGTATTGGAGTAGCCTGGATTTCCTAACAGTTGGGCTGAGATCAGGTGAGTGGTCTATATCACAATACGAGGGAAAATGGCCAACTGGAGAGACCTCCAAGTCCAGCAAACAGATTAATTTTTAAAATTCTTTCCACTGCAAACTGGGCAACACCAGTGGAAGTGTTTATATTTCAGAGATGTGAAGAGGAAAAATTTTGAATGGTTCAAGGTAGAGAGAATCTCAGTGCCTTGTAACAAGGATCTCCTGGTGTTAACTGCCCTTGCTGGCATCTGCCTTGCCTCCAAAGTGCTGGACCTCTAATTATCCAGCATGTCATGCCTTTCCTACTCTATTCAAATGCAGGCATATAAGAGCTGCTGTGTCTGAACTTAGCTTCAGCTGCTTTTTACAAAGGGCTTTACAAAAGTTATTGTTTCGCTTAGATGTTCCACCCCAATGCACTTACTTCCTGGGCATCCTTTCTTTTTCCTTTGACTGGGAGGGAAAATGAGGGCCTTAGTCCGTAAGTCTGTAGTGAGGAGTATGAACAGCATCAAAGACTTAAGTTCTTCCTTAGCATGCCACAAGATCACTGTCTCTTCTGCTGAAGCACTACACAATGAACACTTATTCCATCCTTCTCTCCTGCACTCCAGATCAGCCAGCATCACTAACCTGTCGCTGGATCGGTCGGGTTCGCCGATGGTGCCTTCCTATGAGACATCCGTCAGCCCCCAGGCCAGTCGCACACATATGAAGGCAGAGACCAGCGAGGATGAGCGCAAAATCCTTCTGGTACCTTTCAGGCTTCTGTTTGTCTTCCTCTGGGAGAGCAATGAAGTTTGGCTTCCTTGAGTCATGCAGTGGGAGTATCTTGTTGCCTTTCAAGGATTTTATTTGAGTATTCTTCCCTAGACTGCTCCTCCAAGTGGTGCAGGGATGGAGAATATTGACACTGCTTTGGGCTCTTCTGTCTTCCTGAAATCAGATGTGGCATTTGCATAAATATGTAGTTTTTTAGTCTCAGGAAATTTTTTGCTTTGTGGGGTCAGCGTATGGTAAATCTGTGTGTATTACACTTGCCACAGTTGCAGTTGTAACCAAGTGGTCTGATTCTGTCTTTTTCCAAGTTCAGGTTTTCCCCTTCTTCCCCTTCCCCTTCTAGACTACTTAAGAGGGAACTCTAATGGCTATTTCAAAATGTTTCTCTGTTGAATGAGTTAAAGCTGCTGCAGCTTATTGGACTGAAATGTAACTTGACCCCTTCCCTTGTTTGCAGAATAAATGTTAATATTTTTTGAAAGATTGTGACGTACTTTTTCAAGGAAAAATCAATGTATAACTTTATGTTCTAAGTAGTCCTGTTGTCCTCTTCTTGCTGAGTGGAGTGTTGTAGGTAGCAGTTACTGTGTAATGTGAAGTAGAGATAAAAAGTTTCTTTTTGTGATGGAGAGACAGGTTTCCAACAACTGGGGCAAAACCAATTGGAGAAAAAGGACTGCTTTTCACATTCAAAGATTGAAAATTACTTTTCATTGCCATATTTAAAATCAGGAACGTTACCTTTTGTATTGTCAGGTATTTGCCTGATGCCAGCAGAGTGCAAGTAGATCAAAACACTAGTTCCTGCTTGGTTGTACAGCTCTGTAAATGGACAGTCATGTGAGAGAGAAGGATTTTTAAGGCATGTCTTTACACCTCCCTGCCCCATGCATGTTAGTGCAGAAACAGTAAAATCTAAAACTCTGTGAATGCAAGATGGGGAAGGATGAAGTCCCAGTGCACTTCAGATTCATGTTTAATTTTTTGGCCTGTTTTCTTCTTTGAGGAAGAACGGGCTTATTAGTATATCTTCTGTTCACGTAAGTACAGAAGATGCAGTGTCACTGTAGGTTTTGCTGGGAATTTCCACTGGTTGTTTCTTGTTTTTAGTATGTATCTGACTGTATCAGAAGGTAATTGAAACATTCACGTACTGCATTCAGAAGGCTCATGAGCTTTGCTTATGAAACAGAATATGGGAAGATATACATACATGGAGTAAACACATACTTCTCTGAATTAGAGGTAAAAATCCTTGAGTTGAAAAAGTTCACTGTGTTTTGCCAGTTCGTTCAGTTTCCTGAACTTGCCATGTGAGTTAAAGCAAAAAAGGCAGACGAATTGTTGAATTGCCGCTTGCATCAAATCTTATGATCCTGTGGTGTATTCAGAAGCTGATCTATTTGACATTACCTGGTGTGGCAGTGGAGCTGCCGACGTTGATGCTAAGATGAAGCCCAGGGCAGCCAATGCTGAAGGTGATAGCAGAAAAGCAGCCTGGTAACAGAAGCAGAATAAACCTTTTAGATCACAGAGCATCCTTGGGAAGGTGGAATGAGGTGGATCTGGCAGTTAACTGGAAAGCTGAAATTGATTAAAAGTTGCATTGAAGCTCTTCTGTTGTTGTTGCACAAAGGTGGAATGAGTGAAGCATTTGAACAAGTGAGCTGCAGTGGCTCTTCTCCATCCCTTGCTGTGTTCTATTGCTCTCAAAATAATACCAGGGTATTTTCCAGATTGTTCCATCTCATCAACAGTAGGTTGTGCTGTGCAGAATCTAGGTGCATGTGGAGAGCAAAAGGACCTAGGTAGCAAGCTGACATTTGAGTTTGAATGGGGCATAACCAAAGCAAGATTTGACGTGTGTTTAGCAGGCCTTGAAACAAGACCAGGGCGTAGGCTGAAGTGTTCCAAGTGGTGGGAAAATACTTCGAGCTTCCAAGAGAGTTAACTAAGTTGGGCAGGGGACACAACTTATTTTATTTAGTGGCTGAAGCTAGCAATGTCTAAAGTGTGTGTGTGTGTATATGTATATGTGTATATATTATGTATATATGGCAGTGTGTATTGCACTGTCAAGTTTCTGCTTTGTTTGGACTAGGTGCTTCACAAACTAGGATGCTTCATAAAACCTGAGATGAGCAAAGAATGTGTAGGGAAAAAAAAAAACCTCTTCCAAAGGATGAATTTTCCTTGATCTTGTACATACCACCCCAGTTTGAGACTTGTGCAAGAGAGCAGAAGTGAAAGCATAAGTATATTGCAGATGTTAGAGAAGTTTGCTCCATTAAAACCCTAAGCCCCTTAACTCTGAATGTAACTGTCTTGTTTCTTCTTGGTTTCCAACTTTATATAAAGGAAGGTTGTAAGGAGCTGATCCCATGTTTGTCTGCTGTTTGTTTTGCACCTTCATGTAAGTTTAGCAGAATGGCTTAGATTTTTGTGCCTGTTTCTAGAGGGTGCTTGATTGAGAGTTTGAGGACCCAGACTGATGCTCTTGAAACAAGTGCTGCTGTCTGACTGCTAAGTAACTTGTGTATCTCCCTGTCCAGGACTCAGTCCAGCTGAAAGATCTGTGGAAGAAAATCTGCCATCACAATAGTGGGATGGAGTTCCAAGACCATCGCTACTGGCTGCGGACACATCCCAACTGCATTGTGGGAAAAGAGCTGGTGAACTGGCTCATCAGAAATGGACACATAACCACAAGGTAACCCTGATGCTTTAGGGTGACGGGTGTCTTCTGACTCTGGCAGAAGGTTGTGAGGTAATGTGGGGTAACTTGGATTCCAGAGAGAGAGACCCCTTTGCAAGAAAGCAAGAAAGAAGGCTATCAGAATTTTGTTTCTTTGCTGCCTGCAAGTATGATTCTGATTCCTCATGGTCCAGAAAAGGGCATGGGCACTCTGGTTCAAGAGCTGGTGTGGGTGGCAGTGTATGGGACAGTTACCAACTCAAATGGGCAGAGAACAGTGATCATATTGCAAAGACTCTCCTAAAACATTTTTTTTCAGGGCTGTGTGCTCCATTTTGGTAAACAGAATGCAATTTGCAGGGTCACCATGCTACTTGTGTTTTGGATATGTTTGTGAAGGTTCCTGCTTTGCGACATAGAGGTGTGTCTTCCCAGCTTTACAAAGGAGTTTTTGGCCACACGTAGCATTTCCTTGTTGATATGAAGGGAAAAAAAATTTATTTCAACCTTTACAAGCCTAGAAGAAAGCAGACTGCTGAGTTCACTGATATTCCAAAGAGGCCAGAGATCACTATTAGTGTTTGGCAGCTAAATTTTTCATGGAACTGGTTGACTCTTAACACTGTAAATAAGTATAAGGAATCAGAAGTATTTCACTATGCAAGAGGGAGATAAAACTATGTTTGCTTTCGTATTTACAGAGCCAGTGTCCTTACTTAGCAGAGATTTTCAATGCATGCAACTCAAGCTAAAGATATTGGAGGAGTACAAACAGTATATCTTGTCCATTGGACATCTCAGTTTTAAAGCTCCGGCGGTCTCTTCATCTAAGTCCATACTTGAATCATTGCACCCTCCCCCTCTGCAACATTTTTAAATGTGTAGTTAAGTATGGGCGTGGAATACAGAGGAGTGCAAAGTCATAGCAAACGGCATTTTCCTCTTGTGCCATGTTTGTACCATAAACCATGTGTTTAAAAACAGAAAATGTCTCTGCTCTCATGCTTCCAGGGTTCAAGCCATTGCTATTGGGCAAGCACTAGTTGATGGACGCTGGCTAGATTGTGTCAGTCATCATGATCAGCTCTTCAGAGATGAGTATGCCCTGTACCGACCATTGCAGGTAAAAGGGAGAATCTGACTCGAGGGAGAAGGGGAGTAGGACTGTTATGATTCTTACTGCTATTGACTGCTCACTAGAATATCTTAAAATTATTATCTCTGCAGCCATTGTGTGCTTTCTAAATAAGCTCTCCTGTATAGAGGAGTCTGCACCTTTTTCCTTAGTGGCTAAAAGCCTGAAGAAGGTGCATTTACCCAGAACGCTTTGGAGCTTTGCTTTGTGGAGGATAAATTGCTGCACTTATTGCTGTCTGCAGAAAAGGAAAGGATCTCCAGTTTAGGCCAATACTTCTCATGGTGGGCATTTTCCAGAGGCCTTATAATGCCACAGTCAGTGCTGTTGGCAGCTGTGCTGCATATAATGTGCATAGTCTGCTGTCTGTTACGTAGTTACCGGTACTGAGCTTTAAACATTTCCCAAGTATTTTGGATATACTATGTTTGAACACAAGATAACCTCCTGATCTCTGGTGATGGCAGCAATAAAGAATTTAGTACCATAACCATGTGATGCAAGACTGGGAGGGAGTTTCTGTCCAGCTTTCCGGATTGGGCTGGCTAGATGAGAAAGAGTAAGGAAACCACTGACCAGAGATGCTATCCACCGTTTTTCATTGCAATGAAACATGCACTTAGTTGTGAGTCCTCCATGTTCTTCAGCTTCTCGTGAAGGAGAATGGCTCAGCTGTCCCATACACATCAGCTAGCAAGCTTACAGCCATTAGCTTCATGTTTTCATTGTGTGTTTCAGCTCTTGGCCATGGTATCTCAGTTTGCTAGTAAAGCGTACCCTTACTTAGCAAACAGTTGTGGATCTGTTTGTAACTATTTGCAAAGACATTATATTATTCCAGTTTTAAAGCCAGTTCTCATTAGCCAAAAGCTCTATATGATCACTTTTCTTCCAGCTTAAACAAGATTCTGGAGAAACTGTTGGTAACTCAGCTGCTTGTTGCACTTGCTGTAGCCAAAGAAGTGATAATGAGAATTTATACTTGGGGTGAATCTAGACATCAGAATGGCTAGTTGTAATTGCTTAGATTCTCTCTGGGTTACTTGGCACTATATCCAGGCTTTGTTTTGGCTCAGTAGCTCCAGGCAGGGCCTGACTTGTGAGTGAAGCTTCAAGTTTCTTTTTTTGGTCAGCCACAGAGTTGCTCCAGTGGTTTAGACTATGTCTACACCAAAAGCTGCCTGAATCTGAGCACAGAATACGGCCATCATCCACTTCCGCTGGAGATAACAAGTGTTTAAAACTGCTTCCCTGGGTATGGTTACAGAAAATGTGCAGTGGAATGAACCTGTCACTTAGCCACAACTTGTATGGAAGTGTGGAGGAAGAAGAAACTAGGCACTATGAGAAGTGAAAAGAAATGCTTGTTTCTTGTTCCAGACAGTTCCTATTTTGTGCTGGGGGAGTGGTTTTTATGACTAATTCATCTCAGGCCACTGAGAGTATCCTCTGAATTTTAAAATGTCTGATTTGTGTTTGTGACAGGCTGCTTTCTAATGAGTACGCTTAATGAATATGCTGGGATCAGCAGAGCTGCATTTTAACACCCTTTTTTCTTGCCTACTAGAGCACAGAGTTTTCGGAAACCCCCTCTCCAGACAGTGACTCTGTGAACTCTGTAGAGGGGCACTCAGAGCCATCCTGGTTCAAAGACATCAAATTTGATGACAGTGACACAGAGCAGATTGCTGATGAAGGAGAAGATAACTTGGCCAGTGAGTTTCAGCTAAGTTTTGTTCTCAAATTGTCTTCTTCCCTGCTATCTCTAGTCCTTCAGGACATAGTAGTTTAACCATGTCTTGCTTTACTTGTGTGTATGTGTGCATGCGGCTGTAAGGATATAAGCAAACAGTACCTAGCTAGCCTTCCTGTGTCTTCTGATGGTATTTTGTTTTTACTGGAACTGATAAAGCTTCATACTTGTAGTGGATGGAAAACGTGTAAATTGCCTTCTCTTTCTCAGACAGACTTCTGCTTGACTTTGGTCCTATAGTAATGCGCTAAAGAATGCTGACTCAATATGTCAGCATGCACAGATCAAGATAAGAACTATGAAAATACTGTTTTCCTGTAGTATTTCACACTGGTCTTTATGTATTAAAGACAATTTTTCTCCTCTCCAATACCCTCATGATACCCGTTTGAACCCTTCTCCTCCCTGTATCTTCCCCCTTACCAACACTAAAAGACTCCGCCAGCCCTAGCAAGCGCACTTCAGTCAGCAGCTTCCAGTCCACAATGGACAGTGATTCAGCCGCCTCCATCAGCCTGAACGTGGAGATGGACAACGTGAACTTCCATATCAAGAAGCACTCCAAGTACCCACATGTGCCCCCTCACCCTGCCGACCAAAAAGGTACGAGGTAGTCACCGGCTGGAGTTGCACATGATGGAGAGCTGGGTCCTAATGACACTGACCTGTTTGGACGCTACTGGAGTAGCAGTCCTACAGAGGGAGACGTGCGATATCTAGCTGGAGCTCGCATGCAGTTCTGATATGCTTGCCTCTGAAGAGGCTCAGTAGTCCCAGTGAACCAACTTCTCTGCAGCGTGTGTAACTTCCTCTGTGACTTTCTCTTTTCAATTGAAATGAGGTGTCCTGCTGTAGATATTCAAGTCTCAACTGGACGCCTGCCTGTGCGACCTGGTTTAGGGAACCTGCTTTGGCAGGGGGGTTGGTCTCAATGATCTCTAGAGGTCCCTTCCAACCCCTACAATTCTGTATGCACATAATAGAGCATACCTACATGTACAGTGTCTGCCTAACTGGGGTGAAAAAGTGGTCCATGAATATACTGGTTTAATACTCATCTTTCCCAGTTTGAGGTGAAACTGAAAAAAGCAAGCAGAAGAACAATGAACAAAACTAGCTTGATGAGCTTTCTGCTGGTTTCTAATCCTACCTTAAGTTTATGTTTGGCAGAAAAATAATCATGCTGATACATGGTATGGCCAAGTTTGATCTATGTATGTTACAGATAATTGGGACTTGTAGCGAATTCATTCTTTCTTGGAGTTTTAACAGAGCTCTTATGTTGGTGTGGCTCAGTATACAAGATTTACCTTTATTCTCACAGGTGAATTGCATTCTCCGAAACTGAAGTGATAGCTAAGGAGAGGTGGGAAGGAGGACTGGCCACAGCTGACTTCCGAAGTGTGTTAGATAATGGAGAGTGAGGCAAATTAGAGGGACCATTTATCATTACCTACTGTAAATACTATTTGCTAAAAACATTTACAGAAACAAATCTATGCTTTCTTCTTCTCATCTCAAAGAGGAGTAGAGCAAGTTTGAAATTCAAGTTTGACTGTGGTTTGTAACGGGAAGATTGTCAGTGCTACTGACACCAATTTGTTGATGTTTCCTTCAGTCTTGTTTCCAGCTCATGCCCTAATCAAATGAGAAGTTTATACATCTGCAAGGAGAGGAATATTGTAGAGAGGGAGAAATTTATTGAAGAATAATTAATTGGAAGGGGGGCTTTTTAAAGAGAGCTTGAACCAGGCCCAGGTGTGTTGCAGCATCCTAAGAGTTTACAGCTGTAGCAAGTTGATCTTTATTAGTCTGTGCTGGTATTAAAACAGGCTGTAGTCAGTTTAGGCATAGGGTAGTGTTAGAAAACCTGTATTTCAGATTTTCTGGTTTCCTGTGCATTTCAGTTCTTATATGTAAAAAGCTTTGTGTGATGAAGGGGGAATGTAAAAGACCCTGCTTCTCCACAAGCTGTCAGCCAAGTCAAGGTTTTTTAATAACCAGAAGTGAAGCTCTTGTTTTAAAAAAACAAACAAAAAAAAAAAAAAAAAAAACAAAAACAAAAAAAAAAACACTTTAATGATGGAGTGCTTGAGGAAGATCATCAGAGAGGGCAACTAGTGAGGGAAGTGAAAAGATAATTTTGCTTTTAAATTATGCATAATGGCAGTACAGTGATATCTTGGGATCTCTGCTGAGTAGTATTTGTTAGCTGTTCCTGAAACGTGTGGCCTTTTACCCAGGTTATTCTCCTAGGAGTATAGTTCATAGCTGAATACTTCCCTCTTTTAAGAAGGAAAGGTACCTCAGTAATGTCAGCAGAATGTCCAGAACTGAGATAAGGTAGAGGTATGAGTCATTAAAACACATGATGGAGAAGTAAATGTTTTCTTGCATTTTTTTGAAAAAATCTGTTTCTCTGCATATTCAGAAGACTCATTTCACATCTTTTATTGTTTTCTAACAGTGTCTGCATCATCAGTCTTTATAGGAAAGATCTAACCAGGGTGCAACAAGTTAAAATGTTCACTGACATCCTGAGTAGCAAGATATATTTCCTGGCAATAGGGAAACAGAAATTTCCTGAGTACTTAGATGTTTGTTACAGGAAGGACTTCAAAAATTAGGTGCCACAAAACTCTGCAGTGCCCAGGGCTGTACAATGTATGACTTCTAAAACTTTGTTCCAGAGTCTATTAAAGTATGAATGCAAGCAAAGACTTTCACCCTGTATTCTGATTGATCCTGGCCATTTTCTGCAACAGATGCCTTCCAGGGTGTTAGTGATTGTCAGAATGACACTGATCAGACAGAACTAGATGGTTAGCCATTTTCATTTTACATAGAAGCTTATTTTAGTAGAGGACTGCTCTAAAGCAATTCCTCCTATTTTATTACGTTGGCCTGCAATGTCAGAGATGGACGTTGGTGTTATGATAGTAGAGGTTGAATCTTTCCACTAATATTCTGTGACCTTTTGTTGCCATGTGACTGATGGTGGCAGAGGGACAGTCTGACAAAATGACATCTGATATGGAAGTGTTATGAAGCAAAGATATGTCACTGAATTCTACTGTGGTGGAAAAAAAAATGCCACACACTGAGATTTATCAAACTTGTTGAACGTTTGTGGAGATCAAACAGTGGATGTGAGCACAAAGAGGTGGTGGGTGGTGTGTTTCAGTAATGGTGACTGTGATTTGAAAGACAAGTCCTGTTCCAGAAGGCCATGCAGATTTTGGAGTGTGGTATGCAGGATTTTGTTCAGCACTGGTGAGTGCATAGCTAGTGGTGGTGAGTTGAAAAAAGTGTTCTGTAGCTGAGAAGTTGCCCTATCAAATAGTGTTATTGTGCTCTTTGTAGCAGTTGTAGTTTCTATGGAACTAAATAGGAGGCATTATTTTCAGAGTGACCTATGTAACAGAGCACTATTTCATGACATTGGGTTTGTAGGTGTTAGAGATCAGTAACTTCCCTGTGCTAGGCAAATGTGTGGCTTGGTTTTGTCTGAATTGTCCTGTGCTTAGACCAGGTGACTAGGCAGTGACTTAATTTTCTTTAGAAAGAAAAAAGGGAAATGGATGAAGATGATCCCCACATCTTGAGCTTATTCACTCGATTTCCTCACAGCTGTGTAAATTAGAGTAATTGGGGTCAGACTGGGGGGACAAAACATCAGTGCTAGAAATGCAGGTTCAACTTTGATCAAAGTGATTAGCAGCTTTTTTCAAATGATTAAGAGAGATGTAAAAAATTGGTTGTGGAGGTCAGCTGCTTTGAAGCAATGGCCAATGATGAGCTAGCTGTGTTGTATAACAGCAGTTTGTATGTAGTCTGGGCCTGGTGGCAGGACTTATGATGTGAAAGGCTGACTAATGTTCCGTGTGCTCCTATGAAATTCTAGTGATTCTAAGCCAGCTGGCATGTAATATCCTAAAAATGAGTGTAAGTGACTCACTTGTAATATCATCTACTCACAGATAATGGTACTTTCTGGCATGTATTGAAATGGGCAACAAAGCAATATTGCTTTCTGCATTTAGATTGGGTGAAGAGATTAAATGACTTCATTTATTTTAAATGTGGCTTTTAATTGCTGTGCTTAAAAACACACAATTATCAGCATAGAGAACTTTTCTAAATACCCTCAAAGCCAAACATCCTGAGAGGGCAGGAATTTTGGATAATTTTAGATGTTAGCATCTGGTTAGGAGAGGGAACAGAAGAGAACCTTGTGTAATGATACAGTTCCTTATCACTATTATTAGCCAAGACTTAGAGTCCTGCTGTCAGAGCCCTTTTAGATATATATACCACAGTTTTTAGTGGCTGTCTCTGGATGTATGTGTGCTTTGTGTATCTAGAAAAAAAACACCTGTGAGTTATGGCTGGTCTGTTTAGACTTACAGCAAATAAACCTATAAAATGTTTAAAATATCTACCTGTTGGTTTCCGGTGGAGACCTGTGAATTTGTATATGTTGTGGGATTTGCATTCAATAATGCTTTTGAATATTACACTTCTGGTTTTATATATTCTCTGTGTGTGGTGGTATTTTTTTAATTTGTTTGATGAGGGGGAATGTAGGATAGTTAATTGGCAGCTAACTGCTTGCAGATATGGCTACAAAATATGCAACAACATTCTCTGGGTTTTCTCATCCCATCTCTGTAAGAAACGTCTATTAGCCACTCTCAGTGGCTCAAACTTGCATCTATGAGTGTTTCATCTCTAGTCTAGAAACTTGTCTTGGAATAGAAATAAAAGGAAGCAAAGTTGCAGGAGGTGAAACTATTGATGAGAGATGTTCCCTATTTGAGGGTGTTACCTGCTTCTTTAGCTAGAGCAAAACCAAGGTTAGTTTCAGCTGGTGATAACTGCTGCCTTGGCTGTGTCAGTCAGGGTTATGTGACAGATCTAATTTCAGTGTGTTCACAGTAAGAGCTTCTGCCCTGAGGCTGCTGTAAGGTTGAAAAGGACTGAAAAAGGAGGTGTTGGTATGTGTGTACATGCGTAGGAACAGTCTGATATGACTTTCTCTAGCTAGTGTTGCTGTGGGTGAACGCTGAAGGTGAGCCAACTTATAAGCAAGCTAGGGCTTGACCTAACTCTAAATGTTTCATCTAAGTGAGAGGTGAAAGGAGTCTGCAAATAACTGTTGAGCTGCGAGGGATACTTGCCCCTTTTTGTTCTGCCATGTATGTTTGGTACACTGATCATCTGTTGGGTATCTGATTTCCAGCTGGGTAACTGCGGACAAGCTTAGATGTTTGACATACTGGCGTGTAAGGGGTCTCTTGAGTGCTGCTGTTCAGAGGCTTTTGATTGCTCGTGTACTGTCTACTTCCTGTTGCTTTCTGTTGGTGTCTGAAGCCTTGCTTTGCATTGTTTGTGGTGGCAAGTCTGGACCATTCTCAGGAAAGATGATAGAGGGTTGGTTTTGGACTTGGGATCATCATAGTGTGCAGAAATTTGGCTACTGCTTGTTTTTCCATTGAAGTCCCTTTTTTGTAGAAACAGGTAAACTAAATAAATGCACAGTAGGCCTCCGGAGAAAACAAAGGTTGTGCAGCCAGAGCCTGCCTGAAATTTCATTGATATTTTTTTGTTGATCCAGTAAAGAGGTATAGCAGATAGAGCTTTGTCCTGTTTCCCAAATGTGAAGGACGATGTGTAACTCTCATTTTCCTCAGTTACTGGAAGTCTACCTTTTTATGCCTGGATTCTTCAAAACACTTTAAACTATTTTAGGCTTCAGACTTCTCTCTCTCAGAAGGCAGGCTGCTTTTTGTTCCCTTCACTGTGTAAGATAAATCTCACAGCTGATCTTTCACTGAGTCTGATAATACCAAAATATTTACTGGAATGTATGATCAAAATGCCTCCTGAAGCTGTATTTTTAGATGAGAACGTGGAGGTCATTCCCATGGTGTTTTTGCAGCTTGCAACAAATATATTCAGATTATCACTATTATTTTTTTATTTCTTTAAGTGTCAATAGGAAGAACAGACTCTTAAATGTCAGTTCAGTCTGTGTTCATTTTTACTTTGTTCCCATGGTAATACAGTAATAAATTGTCTTCCTAGAACTTATTGATAGAACGAGAACGAGAGGATATTCTTGTCTTGACCACTCATCAAGCTGTTGCTAAATTAGTGACTAAATGTTTAGATGAGTAATGCTGCTGCTTCTGGTGTGGGCGTGCACATCGTAATTATATGGGCACACCAGTGTAACCTGTCATTTGTCTCCGCCTATCTCCCTCTTCTCTCTTCTTTCAGAGTACTTGAATCCTGACAACGGAGGGCAGCAGATGTTCTCTATAAGTGATGCTTTTATTAAAGGTAAGAGGAAAAATTTCAAATGTTGCTGTTGTGTGCTGTAATATAATGTGAAAGTTCTTTACTACTCCTTCAATAGAGCGTTGGCACTTTATGAACTGAAGTTACTTTGGGCAGAACTGGCATATGGGCTGTATTGTCTTTTTAAAGCTTTTTCAGACTCAAATTCCTTCTCAAATTTCTTCAATCAAAATAACTCTTTTGTTATCTTTCTTTTAATTTTTTTAAAGTAAGTCTCAGTGGCAGGTTTTACCACTTTTTGTTCATAATTTACTCACCCACAATCTTGTATAACAGATGCCAGTTCTAACTTCCTTTGCAAGCAAATGGAGATGTAATACCAATGAAATACGCTCCTACAGAACAGTTCAAGGCTTTATCTCTTAAAACTCTCTGGGTTCCTCATCACCAATACTGCTACTTCTGTAATGAAAGACAATCAGTCACAGTTCTGAATTTTAAAACTGCCTTCCAATTTTGTAATCAGCCTTACTTGTGGGATTTTTTTTTTTTTCCATTTGATGCTGTTGATTGTAGTGAGCTTGGAGAAGAAGAGGAAATAATTGGGGAAATCCTGGTGTCTGTGCATCCAGCAAAGTGAAGAGTTTGGCTGAAATCATGCTTAGTTTTTAACTGAACTTCTGCAGTAGAGGGGGGGGAAGGGAAAATCCCTACTTAACTTCTGCTATTCTATGCAGATAATTTTGATCACCGAGTGTCTAGAACAAGTAAATTGCTATTTTTAAAGTGTCTTTTTCAGTTCTCTTCAGGTTATTGTAAGAGGATTTTGCATTCAGATAATGCAATTGTTTTTTTGCTTGAACTCCAAAGGATTACATGCTTGCCAGTGAGAAGTTGTATACTACTGGCATGAATGATTTACAATATAGTTAGCCATTATATAAAATTGAGGAAGTTCTAATGTGGAATATTGTAATGCCTGTGTGGGAAGTAGCTTTGTAACTCTTTCAAAGCGCAGAGAAATAGCCTGTAATCCTAGTAATGCAAAACAAATAGAGAACAGTTTTATGGATATGCTACACATTGCAGTGATTGAAAGTAGCAGTTGCTCCCTTCAAGCAGGAACTATTCTGCACAGCTGAAACTTGTTTACTGTTTCCAAAACCAATAATGACTGCAGTTTTTACTGACATTTAGAGATGTTTAAATGTTTAAACTGACATTAAAAAAAAAAAAAGCGTGTTCAGTGGATGCAGCTTTACTTATCCTGTTTAACATAGTGGAGAGATAGCTGTGTATGTGATGGTTAGGTAAAAAGGGATGAGAAGAAGTGCTGAGACTTCTGAAAATCTTGTGCTGCTTTCTTTATGGGAAAACCTTAAGCTTGTGAGAGAAAATAGTTCTGTAGTGTTAAATGCTGTGACATAGGGTAGATGAACCAGCTTGCTAGCAGCTCACTCTGCACCTGCCTAGCAAAGTGGTGGTGTTTGATATCTGACTACAAGTCACATCAGGGTTTATTGGTAGCATAGTATTTTAAAATGTTTGGGAGACATGCTGAACAAGGCCTGTACCAAGATATTTTTGGAATTTGTACTGCAGCCGGAATGGTGTAACTTGATCTTTCTACTGCAGGTAACTTGTATATGTCTTCAAAGCAGCAGCTATCTGCAGATCAAATTATTTTGCCTTTAATCAATATTCTAAATTTGAAAAGGCCTATGAATATGTAAAGTATTAAGAATTTACTTCTTATTTATAGGCAGAACTGCAGTGTAACTTTTTGTTTTTTTCCTCTTGCAATAATTTTAATTTCAGGAGAGCAAACTGCTTATGCTGTACTAGCAGTATGAGAATTTCAGTAACTCGCTTTTCCTTTGCACACTTATTATTGTTACACTTAATATTGCTTATAGCATGTTACCATGACTCCTAGCTCAAACTCTGGCTTTCAAGAAGCTTAGACTTAAGCCCTGGTAAATTCTTTCCTTTTCAAAGTAGTCTTTCAGCTGTGACCTTATATTAACAAAGTTGGCTTGTCTCTTGCAGAATCATTATTCAACAGGAGGGTGGAGGAGAAGTCCAAAGAACTCTTTTTCACACCGCTAGGCTGGCACCACAGCAACCTGGATCTGCTGAGAGAAGAGAATGGGGAGAAACAAGCCATGGAAAGGCTGCTGTAAGAAAAAACAAGAAAAAGAATTTTCATATCTTGAGTAACAATTCTGGAAGCCCTCTTGTTCCGCTAGTTTTTAGTGGGGCTCTATCTGCTGTGGGTATTTTTGCTCTCTTTTCTGTGGTTTTATGTAGGTTGCTCCAAAAGTAATGCCTCCTATTTATTTCTGTGGAAACTACAATGGATACAAAGAGAACGAAAATGTTATAGAGCAATTTCTCAGCTACAAAACACCACTTTTAAACATAGTCACCATCAGTGGCCAATTAATGTCAATCAAGATGCCCTTCATTTTGTGGTGTGACAACTGGGTATGGCCATTTGGAACATGGCTTGTCTTTCTCATAATTGATGCCACTGTTGAAATGCAGCACTCACCACCTCTTTGCACTCACATCCACTGTTTGGTCTCCATAAACACTCAGCAAGTGTCAGTAAAAGCTATTTTTTCCCCATGGAGGAATTCAATGACAGATCTTTGCTTCATACGCATTTCAGTGTGAGAAGCCATTCTCTCTGCTGCTGTCTGTCTCATGGCAACAAAATGTCATGGAATATTGATGGGAAGGTTCAGTCTCTACTGCTCTGTGACCAACATCTGTTTGACATTGTGGGTCAACATAATAAAATAAGAGGCATTACTTTTGGAGCAGTGTGTGTCTGCTAAAGTGAAAGAGAAGAGAGTTGACTGTAAAAATTTCTAAGATCCATATCTTCAGATGACTTCCTGTTTTGTAAATATTAAGTAATTAACTTTTGGAACATGACTTTTTTTGAACTCAGCTCTGCTAACCACAACCACATGATGGCGCTGCTTCAGCAACTTCTGTACAATGAGTCGCTGTCACTGTCGTGGAGGGATATCATTGTACCTGTGGTCTGTCAGGTAGTTCAAACTGTAAGGCCTGATGTCAAGAACAGAGATGATGACATGGATATCCGCCAGTTTGTCCACATCAAAAAAGTGAGTTTTCCACGCTGGGTGTAGGGCAAGACAAAAGGTGAAGCTTCTGGCAGCACTCATTGTTTGAAGGGAAGGGTTGTCACCTCCACACTCAGCTTGTCCAGTGGTGTAATTGGTTCTTCTGGCCTTTGAACAGTGTGACGTTCTAGGAAAATTTGTACAGAAAGAGTTATGCAAAAGGTGCTTTAATGCCCTGGAGCTGACCTGTTCTTTCAGGCTTTAGGCCGCAGAAATTAGCAAAGAATAGCACCTCTGTAATGACTTGCTTCCTTTCCTGGCTTCTACTTGGTTTGTACTGAGATTATAGAGGTACTTAGCACAGTATAAATAGCTTGCAAAACTCGGTGTGGCAATCTATTGCCCTGTGACTTCCCATTATGGAGGATTTAACTCGCTGGATGTGAAGTACAATGACTTTCTTCCCAGAGGAAAACTTGATTGGCAGGGAGGGTGCATCCAGTTTTACCAGGTGTCCCAGTGATGTCATTGTTGAACTGTAAGGCTGGAGTTGTGGCAGGTAGAGCTTTTTCTGAGAAGCTGATGTGAAACTAACCTCCAGGGAAGTAGTGTAACTTGAAGCTCATAGGCTCAGGCTTATTTTTGCATGGTAGAAGTTTGCCCTGGGAGGCCTCTTCTGTTTGGAAGCAAGATAAAATATGAGGAGAGCAATTCTGTAGCATCTCTTGAAGCAGAAGAAACTGATGCTGGCTCTCTTGAAACCCTATTTGAAAAAAATCAAATGTTCAGAGATGAAAGCTCTCATAGGTGTCTTCACATGCCACTAAATGAAACATCTTATTCAGGAACTTGTTTCGTGTTGTCTATTGCTCCTGTGGTTGGTTGTGACTGTTGGCACAGTACTCACTTATGTTTGAGCAGTAGGTAGAGGTTCGTTCTTTTTTATCATCATTCTTGTTTGTGACTAGTGAAAATGGTTTGTACAGAGGCATGTGCTCCCTGTGGCCTGTAGAACTTGAGTTTCCTCATTACTTTCCAGAGTATGTTTGATTTCATAAATGTGTCTTTTAGGAGGGGCCTGGATGTCCTGGAACTTAATACCTGTTTTCATGCTTTTGTCCTTAGTTTCCACGATTCTGACAAAGAGTTTTGTGCCCAGCATGACAGTGTATGATCTTTAATCTGATAACTAAGGATGTAGACAAAGCTTGTATGCTAGCCACAATGGTTGTTCTTTTAGGTTTACAATGTCTAAAAATTATTGAAATGTTTAACAATAATAAAGTGTTCAACTTCCTTTGCTCTGTTAGATCCCTGGTGGAAAGAAGTTTGACTCCATGGTGGTGAATGGATTTGTATGCACTAAGAATGTTGCACATAAGAAGGTAACTTGGTCAAGTGCTGGCAGTAGAATGTGCTGAAGGAAAGAAGTGTGCTGTGTCTTTCTTGTGTGTTATATGCTGCTCTCACCACTTTCTCCAGTTTGTTGAGCTCAAAAGCAGGAAGCATTTCTTTTCAAAGCTATTTTCTTTCAGATAAGACAGTAGTGGGAGAGGGAGAAAAATCTTCCCTCACGCATTTGTAGTAAAATATCCTTTCCATCCCTTTCACTCCAGAGCCATCTAATGATAGTCTGGGGAAGAGGAGACTCGGGGAGACCTTACAGCTCTACAACTCCCTGAAAAGGAGGTTGTGGTGAGGTGGAGGTCAGCCTCTGCTCCCGTATAACTAGCAGTAGGACTAGAGGGCATGGCCTCAAGTTGTGTCAGGGGAGGTTTGGGTTGGATATTAGCAAAAATTGCTTCCCCAGAAGAGAGGCACTGGAACAGGAGTCACTGTCCCTGGAGAGGTGTTCAAGAAGTGTTTAGATGTTGTTCTAAGGGACATGATGTAATGGGGAGGCGGTGGTGTTAGGTGTGCAGTTGGACTGGATGATCTTGGAGTTCTTTTCCTGCCTTGGTGATTCTATGGCTGCCCCAAGTTCTGGACAGAAAAAAAGACCTTTTTGGTCCTGATTTATGTGACAGTACGGTTAAGTGAATCTTTAAACAAGGCTAGAGATCAAGATTGAAATGATCCACCTGGAGGCTGTAAAGTATATCGAGACTTAATATATGTATATATATATATATATATATACTTAGTGCTCTTGGAGGTGAGTGCAGAAACCTTCAGCGTTGCAGTCTTGCTGGACAGTAGCTGTGAAATTCAAAAATCTGGGTGTAACATAAGTAGATGGCGTAGGAAATAGCAAAGAAATTTTGCCTAAATCCAGTCATGGGTAGTCTAATGTAGCATTTTTCCTTTCTGCCTATCTCTTTTTAAAAATTGTTTTTTTTTTTTTTTTAATATTTTTTTAGATGAACTCTTGCATAAAAAATCCCAAAATTCTTCTGCTGAAGTGCTCAATAGAGTACCTTTATAGAGAAGAAACAAAATTTACCTGCATAGACCCTATAGTACTTCAGGTAAGAGTATGCTTTTATTGGTTAGAATTGCTCAGGGTCTAGTGATTCAAACAAAAGACAGTGATCAGTGCACACCTAGCTCTTCAGTGTGTAAGGTGCACTTGAGTTAGTGGAATTGCACAGGAAATAAAGCAATTTCCTTTTGTAGTAGCCAGCAAGGAAAAGTTGTGCTGAATAGAGCATGAACTTCTAGTCTTCTGAGATTCCAAGAGATTTATGAGAGGGCATCTGGAGTTGCACATACTGAGAGCAATTTTATGATCCTTACAATTAAATGTAGTAGTTCAGAAAACATTCCTCAATTTTAGTGATGCACTGCATAAGAACCATACAATTCAGCAGCTCAGAGCTAGACATTGTTTAGGTGTGCAGAGAGGTATTAAGTGAATATAGGCAAGATTTAGGTTGTACCTGTGTAACTTTTTTTGTCAGGCTTGAACAAATGGGACAACACCCAACCTAATGAAGTTGATGAACTACAAAATGTCACTTTAGAGCTTGTGCTCAGCCCTTGTGAACAGAGAAGTGCCTTGGGTATGAAAACACTGAAATAGGTGGAGTTTTTGTTTAATATACTGCATGTCTGCCTGAGGATCGGTTTTCAGATCTTTTCCAGGATACTTGTAACACAGACATTTTGTGCTTTACTGAGCTTGGGCCATAATGTTAGTAGTTAATTATTTCCTTCAATTGCATGCGATACCACTTAGTGCTTAATGGTAGGCTTACAGGTGTGAAAGCTTTGGCAGTAAAATTTCTCAACACACTGAGCTGTTTTCCAGTAGAAATTTAAGCTGAGACCTGTCCTTGGAGTGGGACAGAAGCATTTGCTATTCTTTATGACTACTGGTTGCTGTGATGTTTCAGTGCTTGCTTCAGAAATTGATCGTAGGTATTTGTTTGTCTGTGTTAAAGCTCTCTAGGGCTGAGAATACTTCAGAAATCCTAGGTCAGTTGAAGAAGTCAGTTTCTATCAGTTGGCAAACTTTCTTGTGATGCCTTTCTTATGCCTACAACCTCTAAAACTTGACTGATGTGAGCCACAATAACACACTTGAAAATACCTGGCTTCAGAAGCTGTACCTTCCCTTCAGCAGTGTAACTGATTAGTTCTAATGACTTTGCAACCGTATTTTCTTTTTGTGCATGGTAGTGAGGGGAGATAGTGAAATGAAGCCAGGCGATGGGCATGGCAGCAACAGCAGTTTTGCAGATTTAAGGACTGAGTCTCTCAGGGTCTTGAAGAGATGCAGCATTTGTATTCTGTAAGTGAATGGAAGCATCCCTGTGTGACACTGCTCAACTTTTGCATTTACCTGAAGGTGGAGAACATAATATTGCAGATGACTTTTGTTAAAAATGCTCTATTACTAGCACCTTTTGAACATTTTCCATTGGGATTGTAAGGTACGTACAGATTTTTTTGTAGAATCATAGAATGACTTGGGTTTGAAGGAACCTTGAATTCCACTGCCACTCCATCTAATTCTACTGCTCTGGACAGGGTTGCCAACCACTAAATTAGACTTGAAATCAGATTTTCCAGAGTCCTAGGCAACCTGACTTTGAATGCCTTCAGGAATGGGGCATCCACAAATTAATCTGGGTAGCAAGTGCCTCACCACATTGAGTAAAGAATTTCTGCCTAACATCTAACCTAAATCTTCTCTGTTTTAGTTTAAAGCCATTCTGCCACATTCCCACTTACTATCAGACCATGTAAGAAGTCAGTCCTTACCTACTGAAGCGTGTTCTTCTCTCTCATTTATCAGAGGAGGTACACTCTCCTTTTCCTGTCTCTTCTCACCATTGTACCTGTACAATCCTTAAAGTTATTTTTCAATCCCTTGTCAAATTCATTTCTTCACACCTTGGTCTTCCTGATCCCATTGCTGCACATCCAGATGGCATCCCTGTGCTCTTCCCATGTCATGTGTACAGGCAGTAGAATAAGGGATGCTGTCCCTCTTTTTCCTCAGTTTGACCAGTAGGTCCTTGCTCAGCTGTGACAGAGAAGCTGTGCCTTCTCTACTTGATTTCTTGTACCAGAGAATGAGAAGCTCTTGTGCTCTCAGAATGGCATCCTTTAGAAGCTGCCACCTCTGCTCCACTCCTTTGTCCCTAAGGAGAACTTCCCAGGGGATCTCATCCAGTAGTTCCATGAACAGCTGGAAGTTAGTTCTCCTGAAGTTCATGGTCCTGACTTGGCTTTTTTTTGCTAGGCTCTTGTTCCTCCAGATCCCAAGCCTAACCAGGGCATGATTGCTACAGGCTGCTTCCAGTCTTAACCCCTTTAATGAGTTTATCTGCACTGATGACCACTAGATCCAGTAACACTTCTCTGGTGAATTTGTCTAATACCTATACAAATAAGTTAACTTAAATAAAGATATTTGAGTTTCATATGGTAGAAGGAAGAACTGTTTTGTAGAGAGTGACCTGCTTTATCACGAGCAGAGCTGCTGACTCTGGTCTGTGTTTACAGAGGTGGTTTCTGCTGTGTGAGGTGTCTGTGCATATGTAAAAATGTTTGGATTCTGCGGGTCTCTTATTTCAGATAGTCATGTATGATTAGGGCACAATGATACACTGAATGGTGTGCTTAGGAGGTGAGGAAATGTGCACAATGGAAAAAAATATCTGGTTTCCATGTTTCATAGGAGTGGTCAGTATATAAATGAGAAAGTAGTGTTAAGTATTTAGTGCTTGGGCTTTTTTTTTTCCAGACAAGTTTGCTCTAGTTAACTCCTAGGTGGTGTTTATGTCTGCAGGAGAGGGAGTTCCTGAAGAACTATGTGCAACGGATAGTTGATGTCAGGCCTAATTTGGTCCTTGTTGAAAAGACTGTGTCTCGAATCGCCCAGGACATGCTGCTAGAGCATGGTATCACCTTAGTCATCAATGTCAAGCCGGTGAGTGTTTCATGTCAGAGTCTACCTTACAGTGGAACCCTTAACTTCTTGTAGCAGGCTCCTTGAAAAAAGCACAGAAAAATCATTTATTTTCTCTCCTAAACAAACCATGGCTTTTCTTTTAATGGCAATTCAATTCCAAGACATAACAGGTATACCTAGAATGTAACTTTTCCTCCTGCTCTCTGCTGTGCCCTTGCTGGCAGGTCTTTATACTGAATTGATTCGAGTTAATTCTGACTCCTATTTCTCACGCATGCTCAGTGGTCCCCTGCGATCCGCAAAAGGCCCTCTGTTGCTGTGAGGCAGGATGAGCCAAGCAGTTTGTTGTCCTGACAGACATCCCTACACTGACTGCACTGTATCTCCTGGAACTTCCTTCACTTGAATGGGTTCAGTTGTCTTCATGAAAGAGCTTGACTTTCTCTCTCATCAGTAATATTTGTCAGAACTCTCTTCAAGTTTTATTTGGGGATGGAAAGTGATTGGATGACTAGATTTAACTCAGAACTTAAAAAATAAGAAGTAACTGTAGATTCTTACTGTTCTTCTCATTTTCACAGCAAGTTTTAGACCGTGTAAGTCGAATGACTCAGGGAGACTTGGTGATGTCAATGGATCAACTGCTGACCAAACCACGTTTGGGAACCTGTCATAAATTTTACATGCAGGTGTTTCAGTTGCCCTATGGTAAGTAAATCTTGTTGTATCCTGCTTTGTGTGCATGAGACACTGTGTTTTTTTCTTCTTAATAAGATCTGAACAATCCTGTGCTTTGTGTGATTAAGTATTATTCTTCCTATTAATTTCTTTTCTTTTGCTACAACTAGGAATAAAAGTGTTGTTAATAATATTAATAAATATAAATAACATTAACAAAAGTGTGGATGAAAAAACTTGATCAAGAAGTGCAAGGTCTCCCTATCTTACTAAGATAAGAGATGTTAGTTTTTAATTAGGTTGGATTGTTTCTTCTAAATTGTTTGTTTTTTTTTTTTTTCCTCCTTCCATTGCCCTGGAGTCCACTGTCCAACTTTATTTAAAATAGGAAGGGTTAACTTTAGTGCTAGATAAGATTTCCCAGGGTCTTCTCAGCAAAGTGTTGAAAATAATGCAGAATAGAGATTTCATGATTGGTCTGTGCACCTGTTCAGCAGCTTAGCCATCCTCACTGTAAGTAATATTTTCACAAAACAAGATTGACTGTAGTTGTTATCCTAATGCTTGTATTTTGCTTTTCTGTTTTTTTTGTTGTTTTGTTTAGATCAAACAAAAACTCTAATGTTCTTTGAAGGGTGTCCTCAGCACCTGGGTTGCACTATCAAGTTGTGTGGTGCTGCAGAGTATGAACTGGCCCGTGTGAAGGAGATCTTGATCTTTATGATCTGTGTGGCTTATCATTCCCAGCTGGAAATCTCTTTCCTTATGGATGAATTTGCCATGCCCCCTACTCTCACCAAAAACACTTCCTTTCACTCCCTTATTGAGGAACCAGGAGATGAAAATGAACAACGGGACCTGTTCAATGGTGAGGATTTCAGCATGACGATCAGAGACATTGAACCCTCAGCTGAAAAGCTTCCTGTGATCTCTGAATCAGTGTCATCTGATGAGGTCACCCTGCTTGAACAAAGAGGTTTATTTGAGAGAGGTGACCAAGAGAACAGTCAGCTGGAAACAGTGCCCTCAAAACAGCAAGAGCACCACAAAATGGAGTCGTCGTTTCCAGTGTTTCACTCTGTACCTCCGGTAGTGCCTGAAACATCTCTGCTCCCCCTCCATGGCATGGACCAACACTTGGTGACTCTGGATAGCCAGCCACTAGAGCCTATTCAACAGGCAGATGATCTGCAGGAATCCAAGAATCAGATGAGAGTCTTCAGAGACCCTCTCCAGGATGATACTGGTTTATATGTTACGGAAGAGGTAACGTCTTCTGAGGATCGTCTCAAGATGTACTCAGCAGCATTTAAGCAAGAGCTGAAAGATGTTATTCTCTCAATTTCTCCTGTAATGGTGTTCCGTGAACCATTTCTATTGACTGAAAAAGGCATGAGATGCCCTGCTCGAGAATACTTCCCTGAGCAGGTTTATTGGTCTCCTCTCCTTAACAAGGAGTACAAGGAGTTGGAGAGTAGAAGGAAGAGACAGTTATTGCGGGATCTCTCTGGACTACAAGGGATGAATGGGAGTGTCCAAGCCAAAGCTATCCAAATTTTACCTTCCCATGAGCTGGTCAGTACTAGAATAGCAGAGCATCTAGGTGATAGCCAGAGTTTAGCCAGAATGCTGGCTGACTATCGAGCCAGGGGAGGGAGGATACTACAGAGAAGCACAGATCCCTTTGCCCAAATGAAGGATGTATCCAGTGTCCCTGCTGGAAGAACCGGATGCAAAATTGAAGAGGATGAGAAAGGACTGGCTCAAAATGAATCCTCCTGGTCTCATAAGGTAAGATCTATGCTATACAAAACACAGTTACATCTGTTTCCCCTGGTAATACAGAACATGTAGTCTTTTATGCCAAATGTTGAACCAGAGGCTTTTTTTTGCCTAAGTCAAAGCCATTTTAGATTGCAGTGCTCTGGGCACTTAAGCTAGCATAACCAAGGACTAGGTGAATATGAGAGAAACTGAATGGGGAACTGACTGCAAAATTTCCCTGAGAAGGGAAAAGCTTGTGAGACTCAGTTTAGTATTGACTATTCAGCTCAGCTGCATATGACTGATTCCAGAGAATGTGGAGGGGGCAGAAACTTTTTTTTTTCTGAAGCAGCTTTTCTGTGCTTGTACTGATTTCTAAAGGTGTAAGAGGGCTTAATGCCATGGAAGCAATAGTAGACTGCAATTACATTCAAATATTTGTGAAGTATTGGGAGATTTGGAGAAATATGATAGTGTCTTAATGGAGGGAGTGGTATCTTGTCAGAAATTCCCAAGTAAGACAGTGTACTTGAAACCAGAAATATTTAAAGACAGGGGAAACTGTTATGACAGCTGCTGATTTGTATCTGTGGTCTTGGGACTTTCTTGCACTGGGAACTATACACAAAAAGGTGTCTATGACAAGAGTAGCAGAACTGGTTTCTTGTAATAGCAATAGGTTTGGGTCCTGAGCCACTATTAGCCCCTAAGTTCATGAGCAGAAGTCATATTTTAATGGATGCTTAAATATACACCTGTGTAGCTTCACAGGCAGTAGTCTTACAGGCTGTAGGAGTAGCCATTACTCGTCTGTGCTGTTTTAAATTTACTCAGTGATCAAAGAAAATATTTGGTGACTTCATAGCTCTGTAAGGTGTGGAAAGGGAGATGGTTCCATTCTGGCAGCAAAGTGGTAAATCCCTTCACAGAGAAGAACAGAAAATTGGAAGCCTTTCTGTAGCTGCAGTAAGTGATTAACATATAATGGCAAAGATTTGCCTTCAAGTTGTGCTAAAGTGTACAGTTTTTTTGGAGATGCTGCACATCTGTCTTGGGGCTTTGATTGTTTCCTGTTTTTTGTCCGTTTAGCTTCCTTTCCACAGTAACATATGCACACACTGTTTTTATTACACTTACTAGTTATGTTCTTCCATAAATGGCCAGTTAATACTTTTGTCTGATAATGTAAAGTGAATCCGTGGAAAAGGAATAAGCAGGAATTTGTCCTTAAATTTATCAGAATATAATTCTGTCACTGGTTGTGTGTGGATGGAGATGTCTGTAACCAATGAGTGAGTTGTTTTCTCTCAACCAGGTGGATTGCTTGAGTCCAGTAAACCATCAGAGGCTCTGTGTTCTCTTCAGTAGCTCTTCTGCGCAGTCCAGCAATGCTCCAAGTGCCTGTGTCAGCCCCTGGTAGGAAAAATACACTTCTGTAGCTTGTGTAGTTGCTGTCTTCTTTCCAAAGACAAGGTCAGTCCTTGCATCTTAACATATTTCACTGAGGACTCCTTTGTAGGTTTTAATCATTCTCTAATGGGAACTGTTGCCAAAATTTCCTCTTGCCTGATCAGGTGGATCCAGAGCTGCATCTCACAGCCTTTCTAATCTCAGGCCTGAAGGAGAAGGCCCAACATGAAACAGAATGCTTTAGTTAGATCTTTGACTGCAGAGATCTGTATGTGTAGGGAGGGCACTTCTTTAGGCTGCTCTGTGAGGAAGAGTTAATGTATATAAATAATGTCCAAGCTTAAAGATAATAATCTCAGAATACTTATGGGTTGTATTACTGAGAGTGGGATTTGAAAATACTGCTGTCTTTCTTATAAAGTCAACAATATTAAGACTTTCATCTACATTTTTAGCTTAGAGGGCTGTGACTTGTTGATTATGCAGAACTTATGATGTGCTTTCATTGCTACTCCTTGGACAAGTCTTGATGTTTCATTGTCTAAACCAAGTGAAATTTTATAGATGCCTTTCTTGAAAAAGAAGGTCTCGAGTTCCTATAAAAGCTGAGGAACGAACCAATGAAGGTGATAAGCTCACTGAAAAGCAGCAATAAAATTATGTAATTATATTAGACAGAAATATATGAATTGGCACTTCAGTTGATATTTATCTGTTAAGTGTCTTGGTCACTTCAGATTCTGAGAAATAAAATGCTGCTGTTAAATTTTATTTAAGTACTTTCAGGCTTTTTTCACCTTCTAGATGTGCTCTTTTTGTAACTGTTCGGATGTTAATGTGCTGTGCCTAGGTGTTCTTGAAAATATTCTTCAAAAGTACTGTTGAATTGTATCCCACTTTTAAATATGAAGTTTAAAGTTGTTCCTTGTATCTCATTAGTGAACTTGTCAGCAAGAACTTGGGAATAGTAGTGGGGAAGCCTGTGAGTGTATACAGGGCTGAAAATAGCCAAGCAAAAGGTGCAGATCTGTGCACCTGCAGGCCATTGCACAATTAGCAGTGGCAGAATTCTTCCTCTAAAGCTTTTCTTCCTTCTCTGCTTTAGGATTGTGACCATGGAATTCTACGGAAAAAATGACCTGACTCTAGGGATTTTTCTGGAGCGCTACTGTTTTAGGTGAATTAATTGTATATCTCATTCTAAACCAAATAGAGTGTCCCATGTTAAGTGACTCACTCTGTCTTCATAGTTCAAGTATTTTTTTTTTTTATACGAACAGGGAAGTTTTTTTTTTATTTATTTTTTTATTTCAACTCTTACTGCATTTGAGAAATTTCCTATTTGATTCTGGTACCTGAGGAATTCTGCATTGATGTTTCTGTGGTGACTTGAGAGATGACCATTGAAAGAAAGATCATGGATTTTTCTGATCAAGGAGGTTATATGGCACTATTTTGCATACCTCTTCCTTCAGGATCTGATGCTTTAAGATTTTGAGGGCTCCTTGGCATATTTTTGCCCCCCCATAGCCTTTCCTCTGGTACATTGCCGAAATGCTCTTCTAATTTGGTATCAAGCACTTCCACTGTGTGTGTAATATGTTGGTAGAAGCAGATTCAGTAATAAAAACAGTAAAAAATAATAAGAAAAAAAAAAAGACTGTGATAGCTACTGTGATAGCTACCAGTATCCAGTCACTATGTTGTGACCAATACAGATATTGCTGGCAGGGGAGACTCCCTACATGCTGTTCCTAAATGAGAACAGTAAGCTGTGCAGCAGCAGCTTTCATTAACGGCTTAGGAAACTTTTTATAGAAAAGATTAATAGTACTGTGACATTAAAAGCCATACTAGATGAGTTGAACCAACTCTTCAGCAGTGTGTTGCATACGATCCTTCATAGGTGTTTCCGTTTTTCTCTGTAAGGCCTTCATACCAGTGCCCCAGCATGTTCTGTGAAACGCCAATGGTGCATCACATTCGTCGCTTTGTGCATGGGCAAGGATGCGTGCAAATTGTGTTAAAGGAGCTGGACTCCCCAGTCCCTGGGTACCAGCACACAATTCTTACTTATTCCTGGTGTAGACTGTGCAAGCAGGTAAGGATGAGAACTTAAGAATCAGTTGGGTGTGTATGGAAAGATGGGATTGTACAAAAGCTGTTACAAAAGCTGGTGCCAAGTGGTCCTGTTTGTCTACAAATTCCTCCTGTAGAATTGGAAACATTGAGGATAAAATGTAGTATGATGGAGGTGTATTGCAAAGTATCAGTCCTGAAAGGATAGGCTTAAGTGAAATTGATGTACTGTTGGTAACAAGTTTCTGACATAGGAAAAACTAGGGCTGTCCTTTCAGAGGTGAAGAGCTTTGTCCCTTCCATGTTAATCTGTACAAGCATCAGAAGAATGTGTGTGCGGGAAAGGATAGATGTTGAGACCTCCTGGCTTAGTAATTGGCTAAACCCACTTGGTATTCTTTGATCTGCTTTAAACTGGACAGTCTGCATTGAGTCAGTGTGATGTCTAGACTTCTTTTAGTAGGCATTAGAAAGTAAATGAAATCTTCATTAGAAAGATGAAAAACCACAACATAATAAGACTGTGTATTATCTGAAACTTGTTCTTTAATTAAACTAAGAAAAACATTACCAGCTGGATATTCTTCTCTAGCCAACCTTTCTGTAAATCTTAAGATCCTTCTAAGAGAGATGAGTATAAAAAGATTCATGCAGTGCCTCAAACTCAAAACATCTTAATTATCTGTGCTAATGACTCAGTTCACCTACTTAATGGTGGCTTAAACATAGGTGTTGGACTTAAAGGTATCTAAAAGAAGTTAATGTAGTTGCTGAAGGCAAGCCCTACAATCCTTATGTATACGCTGCCCTACACTGCTTGTGTATATTCTGTAACCTTTTATTACTGTGTGCTCATGTAAACATTAAGTTTGTAGCTATTAAGTGTAAATGGCTGCTTCGAACTTGGAAGCACTGCTGAGGTTGAAATACACCGCAAAGTATTTGTAGATGAAGAATCACTAGGGAAAAAGTATGTGATGAAAACACTGCTACTGACTGGTCTGCTGGAAATTCTCTGTATACAAGAGTAGCATACCAGATAGAATGATGTGTTTGTGCTCCCCCAGCTTAGTGGCTGTTAATATCAACTGCCATTTATTGTTTATCCAGTTTATTGTATCCATCTGTGCATTGTGTAGCTCTGTATAAACAATTTTTTAGTTGTTTTGGTATCTTTTGGGGTTATGACTGCTTCTGGTACTAATAATTACTAGATAGAGTCTAGATTAGCCTGTCTTATTTTCTGGTTGAAGAGTGAAATTAAGACATTTTGCTTTCATTTTCAGGTGACACCAGTTGTTCCTCTTTCTAGTGATTCTTGGTCTATGTCTTTTGCAAAATACCTTGAGCTGAGATTCTATGGGCACCAGTACACACGAAGGGCCAATGCAGAGCCTTGTGGTCATTCAATTCACCATGACTATCACCAGTATTTTTCTTACAATCAGATGGTGGCATCTTTCAGGTGAGGTCCTCTGGTTATTAATAAATGAATTTGTTCTCTAGTACTGTGTGAAGCACGTGGCTCTGACAAAAATTCCTTGAGTCTTCCCGTCACAGGGTAAAGCAAGGGATAGCATGACACAGATTGTGTGCTGGAATGCAGAGTGCATTGTAGCTACCATCACTGTGGTGGATGAGGCAGACAATATTTCTAAGAATAGCCATAGAATCATAGAATTGTTGATAAAAATACTGAAGAGCACCTGTCCCAAGACAGACTCATGGTGGACACCACTTATGACCGGCTTCCTCCTGGACATAGAGCCACTGACAACAACTTTGTGGCTATGACCATCCAACCAATTATTTATCCACCTAGTAGTCTAGCCTTCAAATCCATCTCTCCTATTTAGAAATAGCCATGTGACATGGGGCTGTGAATTGTTCCAGTAGATGATGCTGAAGGGAAACACTTCTGCTTTGCATAATCTAGAATACTTTCAAACTCTATTCTGAAGCTGAAAGAAGTTGTGCATATACCTCCATGTGAGGAAAATTATTGAAAGTTGTCACATTCTCTTCTCAGCTACTCTCCAATCCGTCTACTTGAAGTATGTGTCCCATTACCCAAGATCTATATCAAACGGCAGGCTCCGCTGAAAGTTACGATTTTGCAGGACCTTAAGGACTTCTCTCAAAAGTAAGCTTTGATTTTAACTTATTTGTATTTTGGACTTCATAGCAAAACACAAAAATGTGTGCTGACATAAGTAATACACTTGCTAAATATTTGTAATTTAAAATAAATGCATTTAAAATCATTACTTTTCTGGTTGGATGTATTTGTAAGGGAGAGTAGCACTGGAGTATTCTTTCCTATCTTTACCAAATTCCATCAATACTAATTCTTATCTCTTTGTCTGTTGCAGTTGAGCTTAAGAATCTTGTCTTCTTCTACTGGCTGTGTTTATTGTAATCTCTGACTGCTGCATTGTTATGAGTGATCTAGCATGTTTCCATGCTAATAGACAGTCTAGAATGCTTTTGTAGTCTGAGTTGAACTGCTGTAGGCGTAGATACCTTCTAAATGTAGGAACAAAAGTGTGGAAGACAGGCATGGTGGAAGAAACTATCTTAATTCTAACCTGACTGCTGTTTGACCTGATGGCAGCTTTCCTATTTGGCTGACTTATCCATGACTGCCTGACTTCAGAAATTGTCTAGTTTTGTTGAGAATGGAAATGTTTTATTCTCTCTCATCCCTGCCGGTGGTGTTGGTTTAGCTTGCAGTCTGACAGTCTCCCCAGGCACCAGTAGTGCAACAGCTCTGCTCTGCTAGTAATGCAGTTGTGACCTTTCAATTGCTCTCTGAAAACTTTTGCTGCTAGGAATAAGCTGTGGTGAAGGATGTTATGGTGTGTAGTTTAGAGATTTCTACAGCATGGATGGATTTTTTTCCAAAAGTCATGGTGAATTCAGTGGGACATCCTACTGTGCAGAAAGCTGTCATGTGTCATCTTTTGTATTCTGAAACTCGAACTGTAAGCACGTTCAGATTTCTATTAAAGAATGTTGAAGTTGTATCAAGTAATCACAGCTTAACTCTTTGTATTCCTGTTCTCAGGGTGTCACAAGTGTACCTTGCTGTTGATGATCGCCTTGCTTCTCTGAAAACTGACACTTTCAGCAAAACAAGGGAAGAGAAAATGGAAGATCTGTTTGCACAAAAGGAGGTAATGGATTACCTCTATATTTACAGAACATAGGCTTTAAAGGTGTGGACAAGCCAGTTGGATCGAGCATTATGCCGTGTGACAGAATGCTGACAGTTTTTGTTTTGGCAGATGGAAGAGGGGGAATTTCGAAACTGGACTGAGAAAATTCAGGCAAGGCTCCTTTCATCATCACTGGACACACCTCAACAGCTTCAATCTATTTTTGAGTCTCTGATTGCTAAAAAGCAAGGACTCTGTGAAATGCTGCAAGCCTGGAATAGTAGGTAAGAGAAGAGATGCTGTAATGGTAACATCAGTACTCTGCTGATACTGTAAGGGAAGAAGTTGTATGCTTTTTCTCCCTCTAGTGCAATTGCTATACATATACATATACGTAGTGCTGAATACCCTTTAATGGCTGGTTGACTGGAACAGAAAATTGTTTAAGGCTGTGTGATGTTGTAGAGCACAACTTTTATCTGAGGCGGGAAAGTGTCATTTGAACCAAGGTGGAAGATGGAAGCATGTAAAAGCAAGTGAGTGAAATGGTCTCAGGTGGGCACGTGCCAAATGAAATGCTTAAGATGACTTATTTTTCTGTGATTTTGAAGACTTTGCACTCATACTGTAGAGTAGCTGGAATGTGGTGTTTGCAGTGTCTCTTGTTGCTGTAGTGCTAATCAAGGCATGAGGAAAAGATTTTCTTTAGCCATAGAACACGGCTTCAGCACGTATTAACAGTCATCTTAGTTTGTGTTAAAGGCTTGTGAAGGCATGCTGGGTTGTATTCTAATATGGAGAAACATAATTTTTGCCTTTTACAGCTAGTATGTGTAACCTGTGTTTTGAGTTTATTTTTTTAAATTTTTTTTAAAAGGTTGCAGGATCTTTTCCAGCAAGAGAAAGGCAGAAAACGCCCCTCAGTACCACCTAGCCCTGGAAGACTGAGACAAGGTGAAGAAAGCAAGGTACAAGCAGCAGGCTGGACATTACTTAAACATTTGTTCCGCAGGAGCACTAATGTCTAAAGTTCAACTTCAGTTCACTTTAATAATTAGTTAACTTGTGTTACTGCATTGTTTAATTTTCATATGTAAACATCTGAATGGCGTGTTGTCTACTTAGCTTCTTCTAAAGACATAAACCATAAACACATAAACCAAGATCTATATTCTACAGAAGAAGATGGCTGAGAATATGATATTAGTGTGTTTTTCTTTTATGCTTCTGGACAGTTGAAATGAATGCTCACAACAGAGCTGTGCTCGTTGTCAAGGTTGTGTCTAGATAAGAGGTCATCTTGTTGGAGGCTGGACTGGATGAAAACACACTGAGAGAAAACGGCACAGGAACCTATTATCTATTAATGTTATTCCTTATGAAAGAGAAAAGGCAAAATATCAGGAGAGGCAGAGCAAAGAATGCAGGGAGAATGATAGTAAATTTATAAATTTGTTCCTAATTTGGTGATGTCTGTGGGAATGGGCAGGGAGGATGCGTACATGATCTTGAACTGTTGCCCCTCTGGCTGTGTGTAAGGATACAGTTGCCAGCATGCTGAACAACTGCCTTTGTGGAGCTGATACTCTGAGGAAATGTCCAGACTGCAAGGCAGCACAATACAAGTGTTGCACAGGGAGGCTGACCTCCCAAATAGGTAGCTAGCAAAGTGCACAAAGAAACCTGGTAGCGCTCTGGTTTGCTCAGCTGCATGCATTTGTGTCCTTTCCACGTAAAACACTCATTAATGCTAAAACATGCTTAGCCTTCAGTTAGCTGTAAGCTTATGTAGAAGAATCGTGTTATCTTTAAAGCAGCATGTAGAGGTGATAGCAGGCATGAGCAATCTTGTGAAACTAGATTGCTGTTGCTTTGTCTCTTTCATATACTGGTAGAGGCAGTGATGTGCTGAATCTGAGAACAGTGGGTAGGAATGCTCTGCTGTGGTACATCAGGTTTTGCAATTGTTCCACAGCGAGGAAGGGATATAGCTTTAAAAAGCCTGGTGTCAACATTGATCACCTGATGTTCTTCCTAGATCAGCAGCATGGATGCTTCCCCACGCAATGTTTCTCCAGCACTCCAAAATGGAGAAAAAGGTACATTATCTATTTTTCTTAAGATATGAAAAGATGTTTGCTGTAACCCTTTCTCTGGCAATGTGGGAGTCATAACTGAAGATCTGCATGGCGTGTGGGATGTGCATCTTTTCCTTGAGGTGTTGGTATATGATGAGACCCTTCCTTACTGGGAACTGAAGACACTGGGTGCTTAAGTATATTCATCTTGTGGAGCTTATGTGTACGCTGATCAGTGCGGGTTGTTTTGCTCTGGGCATTCCTACCTGCTTTCTAAGTAAAAACTTCTTGAAAGTAGACACTGGTGATGGCTTAGCCTGAAGGCAAGCAATTTTGCTTCTGATAGCCATATAAAATGCTTTCCTTTGTCCTTCTAGAGGATCGTTTTCTGACTACTTTATCAAGTCAGAGCTCCACAGGCTCCACCCATCTTCAGTTGCCCACTCCTCCAGAGGTTGTGTCTGAACAACTAACTGGTGCCAGCACACTTTCTGAACAGGATACAACCAGTAGCTCAGAAGGTACAGTTCAGCTTTGGTCTTGTATTCGTTATTGTATTCGCAAGTGTATGAGATCTACTTCGAAAATGGCAAATATGGTAACTTTGTGGTCTACCACCTTGCTCCCAAATGTACAGTGTAAAGTTTGTGGGCAGACTGAACTTATCTCTGTTTCAGATGTGTTTGATGGACACTCACTGGGATCTACTGACAGCCAAGTGAAAGAGAAGTCTACTATGAAAGCTATTTTGGCTAACTTATTGCCTGGGAACAATTACAACCCTATTCCATTTCCCTTGTAAGTACTGCATAATACATATGATGTACAAACAAGTAGCCTGGTAAAACTGTAGACAGAGCTATGCGTGCTTTTTTTGCTTTGTATATAATTTAAGTCATTACTGGGTTTGCATCCAAATAAGCTGATCTTCTGCAAGACAAGAAATTTTCCTTTCCTTTCCTAAGTGTTTGTAGGTTGCCCCCTTTTCTTATTAGTGACCCAATCCTTCTTCTATTATACCCTTGTAGAATTGTGGGCTCTGCCCACTAGGTCACATCCCACTGCCCAACGCAAAGCTCAAACCTATGGTCCTGACCCTTTTATCAGATTCTCTTTTTCCTAGTAGGCATGCCACTCCAGAAGTCTTTTAAGAGGGGAAAGAGAGGTGCTTTCTAACTTGCTTCAGGGAGGGAACAGAAATGTCCTTCTGTAATAAAGACTTACTAAAGCTACATGCCTGCTTCTTCTTTTTGCTTCCAGACCTCTCCCAAGGGTTGGACTCAAATGGGCATTGTCTGGGTGTAGGTCAGGTTCAGTGGCTGCTGCATGTGCCCTCAAGTCCCTCTCACGTGAAAATGAGCAGGCTGGAAAGTTTTTTCAGCTACTCTGTCTGTATGTGTTGTAGTGTTTCTTGTTTGACATGAACCTAATGTTTGGCAGCCTAAGTTTAAAATCTGACTTCTACCCTTAGGTAGCAGTGGAGGTCGCGGGCTAGTAAGGTAAAAGTTAAATGACAGAATCTTATAGGGAAGTTAAAGAAAATCTGATGGAAACTCAGGAGGCTTTGGGGAGGTTTCTGAAATTTTTTTTTGCCTCCTAACTTCACTTTGCAGACTATCCTGTAGGACAGTTAAAGCAAACTGGCAGGTTTTAGTGCCAATAGAAACAGTGGCTGCTAAACAGAAATAGACTTTAACTTAGACTGGTCCTCTGATACTAGAAGCTTGCTTGACGTGATGATTGCTCTAACACATTACCAGTCAGATTTAACCACACAGCTAGCTGTGAGTGCGCCTCTTGGGAGACGCTGATCTGGAACGCTTTGGCCCTGTGCTAAGACTTGCAGCTTGTGCCTAGAGTGCAGTGAAGAGATTGGGTTTTGACCAAAAATTAACCTTTTCATAAACTTCTGTGCTCTGCTAATAGTCTCTGTATTCCATTTTCATCCAGTGACCCAGATAAGCACTACCTAATGTACGAGCATGAGCGCGTACCTATTGCAGTCTGTGAGAAAGAACCAAGCTCCATCATAGCTTTTGCTCTCAGGTACTGGTGTTACTTGCCCTTCATCTGAAATGTTATATTCTGGAACTTTTCTGTGCAGGGAATACTTAAATCCTAATGGGAGGAAACAAGCATTGACAGTTCAATCACTCAGCTGCTTTGAGAGTTTCTGACAGAGCTGAAGTTGTCTACTTATACTGCTGAGATATGGAATGTAGGTTTTCCAGCTTTCAGTTGGATTTTGGGCTTTTTCTACCTGCACACGAATGATTTAATTATGGTGTTCTGTTGAAGTTAATGGTGATAGAAGAAGAAATAAATGCAGTGAAATAAAGTGAATGAAGTTAGCTCAATTCTCTGGCGTGGAGACAGTGCAACTGAACTAAGGAAACTGACTGACTATTTGTAAAACAATCTCTCCCTTGCCTGCCTTCAGTTACAGCAGCTCCTGCTACTGCTCAGCTCTGCAAACCAGCTACTTCAGTAAACCTTGGAGCTTTCTTGGCACCAGGCAATAGACTTTGAGTAGCTCATTCTTAAACTGCAGAAGCAACAATGTTGAAATTTTTCCCACAGTACGATCTGAAGCAGCAACTGTCATAAGGGAAATAATCCTAACTGTAAGGAAAAGTAATGGAAGCATTTCCTACTGTAGGTTTGTTTGCTGTCTCTGAACTGAATCTTTAAATTGGGTTTTTATCTGGAAAATCTTAAATCTGGAAAAGCAGGGTTTCCCAGAGAAAAGCTTTCACTTATTTATTTTTATTTCTTTATCTTTTTCTCCTTCAGTTGCAAGGAATATAGAAATGCCCTTGATGAGTTGTCCAAAGCATCTCCAAAAAACGGTACTGAAGAAGGACTACAGGCAAACAGGTTAGATGTAGGGACTACATTATATGGAGGAAACTATAGTAACAAAGCAGTTGTTGTAAAGCAGCCACAGTGAGGACCTAGAGAATATGCCACTGTTAGGATCTCTGCATTCTGATTGGAATCTGGCTCTGCTGGCTCACTCACCTGTCCCTTGACCACATGTGTGATAGGAAGCACTGGCCTTGTTTAACTTGCCTGTGATGATGGAAGCAACTGTTGCTAAGGAGCTCTGAGAGGTTTTGTCAGAGAGGAGAAAATGAACAACTCTGAGGAGTTCTGTATTGTCACAACTTCACACTGTATCCTTTTCCCTTAGCAGCATGTGCTGCTAGGCATGGAGGAGAAATAACTAGAATCTTAGTATCACCAAGATTGCAAAAGATCTACAAGAACATCCGGTCCAGCTGTCCACCTATCATCAGAATTTTCCATTGGACCATGTCTCTCAGTACAGCATCTGAATGTTTCTTGAACACCTCCAGGGCTGGGAGCCCTGGGCAGCCTATTCTGACTGACTTTATTTCCTAGTGTCCAATCTGAATCTCCCCTGCACAACTTGAGGTTCTTCCCTCACGTCCTATTGCTAGTTGCGTAGGAGAACAGGCTGACCCCCACCTTGTCACAACTCCCTTCCCTTTACAATGGGAGTAAAGCAGTAGTGTCTCAGCTGTTTGTTGCCCTTACTATGACATTTTTCCTTTCAGTACATCAGATGGCAAACCAAAGAGTGGTAGTCCTGTGCGCCTACCTGAAGCTAACATGGGTCCTTCAAATCGTGCTGCTGAAGTGGAACAACGTAAGACATTTTTAAAGTCCTGTATATGATATATTAATTTCAGACTTCAGTCTATTCAATCTGTTTGAACTCTTCTGAAAGTTGTTATAACAGAGGAAATGCGGTTCCAGCTGGGCTTGCTGAGTTTTGTCCTATTTAAATTGTGACTTGTCTTGCAGTCAACTTGATGTAGAACATACTGTATTTTTTTTATAAGTCTCTGTTCATAATAGCTTTCTCTGATTCTTAAGAGATAATGTTACCATCCTATGCTTTAATGTGTTATTACTATATAATGGCGCATTATTTATTCTTGGGCCGAACATATGCAGTGGGGCATGATGCCTTTATGTTCTGATCTCTTCAGCTCTGCCTTGTCTAAAATGACACCAAATATTTTTAGATAGAGAGGCAGGTCCTCACGCTTTTTGTGTGGCTTTGGGATGCCAGTGGGGTAGGCTTCTGTGTTGTACTCCTCCATCATTTTCTTTGTGGCTTGTGCTACAATTCCTGTTTTGAATTGTATTTGCTGCATTTGAAATGTTGATGCTTCAGACAAGCAAGCAGAAACAGTGACTAGAGCTTGTATTTATTGTTCTTGTGAAGTGTGCTCTCTTGAATGACTCCATCATTCCACAGTGTCATTCAGGACATTAAATCTGCTGAACAGACAGTGGTTGCCTGAAGAATTGCAGGTTTGCTGGGTGATGTCACCCCTCCAGTTGGAACAATGAATGGAGAACGCTTGTCTGACTAAAGCCTTTATTAAACTGCTTCTGGTAATGCCAGTACCATCTTGTTTATTCTTTTTGCTGTAGCAAAGAAACCATCTAGTGTTTTGTCTTTCTTCCGTGGCACGGGAGGGAAGAGCCCAGACCTGTCTTCCCAGAAGAAGGAGACCTTACGTGGTGCTGACAGCGCCTATTACCAGGTTGGACAGATGGGTAAAGAGGGAGCGGAGAACCAAGGAGCAGAGCCACAAGGTACAAGGCTGCTGCTGTTGAATCCATCTTCTGTTTTGAAGTGCTAATTCTTCCAAACCTCATTCACACTTAAAAGGCCCAGAATACATTCTAGTTCATACTTCTTCAGTGCTTTTAACATTTTCCAACCCCAGAATGCATTGAAAACACATGACCAAAGCACAAAATGTAGATTTGTCCTATGGATTTTGCTTTGCTTTTTAAAAGAAATAGAAAAATAGGGCTTTTTAAACCCCTGTACCTAAAAGGACATTGAGTAGTTTGAATATAAATTGATTTCAGTTTATCAGCCCATGATATCTGTTATTTTAGGAGTTATCTCTTCCTTGCTTCCTGTTTAACTTCCTGTTTATGCTCACGCTAAGCAAAGAGAGAAAACAAAGAGAAAACTTGTGTCCTAGGAATATCAGTATTCTAGCATACGTATAAGTGCTGCTATGCCTCTAATTCTGTAGTTGCCAATGTATTCTTGAAGAAAAGAAAGTAATTTTCTCATAATACAGATTTACAAGCATTGTCTCTCATAGCTCTTTAAATGGTGATGATAATGAAGAAGTCCTTTATGCTTTCAGATGAGGTAGATGGAGGAGATGGACAGAAGAAACAGCTGGTGAATCCCCATGTGGAACTCCGTGAGTTTTACATAATAACTTGAAGTCTTAGCTGACAAAACTCTTTTTCCTTGTGCATGTAATGGAAGTCTTCAGGTGGATTGCTCTATCCATGGCACATCACATGTTTTTATTTTTTCTTACATGGCTGTATGAAAGAGGAGAGACAAAAAATTAATAACAAGGCAATACCATTTTTGCTTGCTCTAATCCATGTCTAATGCAAAAAAAAACCTGCATGATCTGCCTTCCTCCTCCATTTGGCTTGTTGTCCCTTTGGCGTCTATTGGGGGCTAACCTAAAGGAGGTTGGTTTTTAATTTTTTTTCTTTTTCCTGCGAGCCTCTAATTTAAATTGTATTAAGTGCCCAAGGTACAATAGGTATTGGAGCAGGCTGTTAAAGGAAGTAATTTTTTTTTTTTTTTTGACACACTATTAAAATCTGCTTAAGTGTCATCTCAGGTAGTGAGATTGCATACTGTTATTGAGGACAAGTTCTCTTGCAGAGTTCTCAGATGCGAATGCCAAGTTCTACTGCAGGATTTATTATGCTGGCGAGTTTCACAAGATGCGTGAAGTGATACTGGGGAGCAGTGAAGAGGACTTCATCCGCTCCCTCTCTCACTCGATGCCCTGGCAGGCACGAGGTGGCAAATCTGGGGCTGCATTCTATGTGACTGAAGGTAAAAACTGCTGCCTCGTCTTTTAGAATTAGAGGGTGTTGTTTAGAGCTGGTGATGATTAGTATGTTGTGTAATCTCTGATTACAGAGGATTGCTGACTGTTAAGTGGTCAGTCAGAATGGAAAGTTCAGTGGATTGTTTGGAGTATTCAAAATCAGATTTTTTTTCTTGCTTTTTTCACTTTTTAAAATATAAAATTAACGCGCAGGAGGAAAAAATGGAGTTCTATTTTCAGTATTGGCAGCTGGGGAGTCCAGTTGAGCAGAAAGGTGATATTCTACTGAGTGGATTTCAGTAAACAAATTCAGTATACTTCAAGGAAAAATCTGATTATTGAAGATACTGTTTCTGATCATCTCACATGGCATACAATAAGATTTCTTTGTTTTCAACAGCATTTAATTTTAGTCTCTTGCTTAGAGGAAGTCTTGAATAGAAGGGTCTGTAGGCTGCTTTTATTGTATTCATATAAGGAGCCCATAACATTGAGTTAAATCAAACTTCGGCAGTCTCTTTCTGGCTTACCAGTAGATTCAAATTTAGAACATAGCCAGAAAAGAATTATAATATCTTTGGTAGCAAAGAGTTTAAGAGAATGGCAGTCTTTCAAACTATTTTAGTTGTATGGCTGTTCTAAAGAACTTGCAAAAAGTGTCACTCACAGTGTATCATCTGTCTGATATTAAAACAGATGATAGATTCATCTTGAAGCAGATGCCTCGTCTGGAAGTCCAGTCATTCCTTGACTTTGCTCCACACTACTTCACTTACATCACTAATGCAGTTCAGCAGAAGGTATTTTAAAAAGTGCTTTTATGTTTGACTGTGTTCTGTATTTTATGGACCAGTAGATGTTCCCATTAACCATTTTCATTTAAGCAAAAAGAATATCTGTTGGGGGATATGAGTTGTATTAAGAACATGTTCAAGATGAAACACGGGAATTTCACAGGCAATTCTAAGCTGCAATGCACAGTGGTACTTCTGAGATCTGATTGCTTGCCTGCATGCAGAGATCTTACCCAGAGTCTTTCCTTAATCAGAAGCCCACAGCGCTGGCCAAAATCCTTGGGGTGTATCGGATTGGATATAAGAACTCTCAAAACAACACTGAAAAGAAACTGGATCTGCTTGTCATGGAAAACCTTTTCTATGGAAGGAAAATGGCTCAGGTAAGGCCATGTTTGACAGAGTTTCTGTTCCACTACAGTGCATGCTCTTTCTGGGCTGAGAGCAATAGCAGACTTAATAGTAATTATCTTTTGCATATGCTCTAAGTTGGCAGTTAGTGCCTGTATTTATGTGATCCTCAGTAATTTGATGACTAGATTGGCTCATTCAGATAGCTGTAGTACATACTTCAGTTGTTAAGTCTTACTTGTCCATGAATATCTGATGTCTGTGAGAGCCTTACCAATGTAATTAACAAAATGCTACAGTTTTTTGTAAAGCTTTTATGAAACTAACTAGTATTACCTCCTAATGTATTTAAAAGGGGAGCCTTACATATGGTGACAGTGAAGGAAATTACGTGCTAATGCTTTGAACTCACTGTTCTGTCTCTGAACCGTTTCATGCGTGTGATGAGGCCTTGAATTCAGCCTTGCTTTTTAGTTAAGGGAGAATGGCTTTTGTGAGGCAGTAGAGACCTTAAAGTGACAGGGACAATCCTCTTCAAATACTAAGTTGGTGCTGAAAAGGAAACTGAAACAAATGTTATCTTCCCTCTAGTGTCTGACATCAAATAGGGGGGTAGTTACGGAAATAAAGATTATGGACTTTTTTCCTGGAGTTAATCAAGTCTTGATCGGCCTGTTCTAACTGGACGTGCTTCAAGTAGAGCACTGGGCTAGAGACCTCCAGAGGTGTTTTCCAGTCAAGAAAGTATTCTGTGGTCTGTCTCTTGTCTTGTCAACCCATGTTAAATGATTCATCAAGGAAGGACCCACCTCCCTTCTTCAGTGCCTTTTGCTGTTGTCAGCATTTGAGTATGTAAGCTGGCTAGGAAACTGAGTTTGCCTATATGATTTAAAAATAAAGGTACACGTTTTCCCTTAGGTTAGACTGAACACTGATGAAATTACTTGCCTAAAATCTGAGATTTAAAGTTGCAGAGCTTTTGTATAGATTTACGTGCTACTCTCCACTTAGGGAACTGTTGTTTTTTTGCTGTATTAAATCTTGTTTGCTACCTTCCCTGTAGTGAGAAGGGGAGAGCTACCTTGCTGTGATCTCTGCTCAAACACTGCAGTCAAGCATGTTCAAGTCTTTAATCTTACAGAAGAAAGTGGAAAATGTAATGCTGTTCTGCATTTACAGGTTTTTGACTTAAAGGGCTCCCTCCGGAATAGGAATGTTAAAACAGACACAGGGAAAGAAAGCTGTGATGTCGTCCTATTGGATGAGAACCTTCTGAAGATGGTCCGTGACAACCCTTTGTACATCCGTTCCCACTGCAAGGCTGTGCTGAGAGCTTCTATACACAGTGATTCCCAGTTCCTCTCCAGCCACCTCATCATAGACTATTCCCTGCTGGTGGGTCGTGACGATACAAACAATGAGCTGGTTGTGGGGATTATTGGTAAGTTAAACGTTCCTTTTGCTTGCTTTCGTGAAACTCCTTTCTTCTGATTTCAGAAGAACTCTTAGAACTGTATCACCACCACCCAGATGTGTGTTAAGAAAGCTTGTCTCCCAGCTGCTGGAGTACTGCCCTCATCTGTCATGAGTGTTCACAGTGAAGGCAGGAAGTTTTGTTTTTCTCCAGCTCTTGTACCATTTGTGCTGTCATTTGCATTACTGGAAATATATCTGGGAAACATTAGGAAGAATATATACATATGGGGCCTTACAGGTAGTGAGAAAACAATCAAGTTGATCTTTAACCTGCACTTTGACTCCAGTTGAAATGGAATTACCTCTGTGTCTTCATATGTGTTTAATCTTTTAAGTTCAATAATATTTACGTATCTGTTTAAATAGTAACTTCAGTGGAAGTGATCTGAGTAGGAACAAACAGTGAGAAGTAGGGGTGGAAGAGGGAGATCAAATATTCTGAAATCACTCTCGATCTTGTAGCCTGACCGGGATAATGAGTGTCAAGCAGGTAATTCCCTTGCTGCATCTTCTGACTTGTATCTGGAAAGTAGAGTGCCATCTTTAGGCAAGTAAGTTAGTTGTGTGCAAAAATCTTGGAGGTGGTTAACATCATCTTCACTTTTGTAGACCTGAGTATTTGTATGCTTGTAATCATTAAGCACATTCTTCTTAAACTGGTTTGGAAACAGTTCTGATCTCTTTCTTTGCAGCCTTCTTTTCCAGAGTCATTTGTATTTCCAGTCCTCCATTTCATGAGGTGTAATCTCTTAGATTTGCAGGTGGCTGCATTGATGAGGAATGCTATTAGCCTAAATGGCTAGGTGTTCAAGCAGCTGTAGAAAAGTAATGGAAGCTGGTACAGCAAAGTGAGGCTTCTGATATGTTTCTAGGATGAAGGTCAGCTAGTGACTTTCTTTTTATTTATTTATTTTTTTTCTTCTTGTAGAAGTAGGACTTCTAAGCTGTCATATTCACCCCAGCCGAATAGAATGAATAATCTGAGAAGTGAAGCTGCTGTTAGGGTGAACACCTGAGTTCTTCTGGCTATGGAAGCCTACTGTATTTTCTTCTCTGTTAAAGGAGAAATTATGCATTTTAGAACAACACTACTTGGTTTGTAGCAGGTATGGCATGTCTGTGTATGGATTTCTTTTTTTCTTACAACAGACTATATTCGCACTTTTACCTGGGACAAAAAACTTGAAATGGTGGTGAAGTCAACTGGCATCTTGGGGGGACAAGGTAAGGTTGTAATTAAAAGCTTTATTTTTGTTCTGTTTACTTTTTATTTAGCTGGAAGCTTCTAATAACTGTGCTAGTAAAGCTGCAACTTCCTCTGTGCAAAATTACACTTTAAATTATGTGGAGCAGAGGAAGGAATAAAAGCTTTCAGAAAAAAATCATGTATTTGTCTGCTTTCATGATAGACTCTTGAGGTACTCTAATGCCTGAAAATGAGGTGTAGTCATCTACTTATCAGGCTGTTCTGTTTTGTTTCGTGGTTATCCAGTGCTCACAAAAACAGAGGTAGCAAATACTAGCAAAAAAGCCCTTTCTGCCCAGTTTCAGAAGAGATTGTCTGAGTCCAGAAAATCAAATATAGTCTGGGATTTTAGTTTGGATGAGTCCTTACCAAATGATTGACTGCTGCTACCCAGATTTTGAGGAGCTGATGAGTTTCCTATGTGGAAATGAGAGAAATATATTTCATGCACAATTTCCACGTATTGGTCATGTGTTAATAGGAAAGTTGTTCAAGAAGGGGGAGGGAAACATTCACAATCTCACTGCTTGCATGTCTGGAGAAGATAAGAGCATGTCCATACAGTGACATTCTTCCTGGGAGAAGTTTGCATCTGTGCTGGAAAAACCTGTAAAGACATGTAAACTGGAGAGAAGGAAAAACAATCAGGGCTAGTGTGAAAAGCCTAGATAGCCCCTACAGCTCCACATCTCTCAGTTCAGCATCAGCTAATCCAGATCTTGAATTCATTTGTTTCCCAAATGTTTAAGAAATAAAAAAAATAAATATCTAACCATACTTGTTGGTTCTGTGTACAGCATATATGCATCCCTGTGCCATGTGGTGCCTTAACTTCTTGTGAAAGCTGTTTGTACTGCAGTGTATGTTTGTAGCCCATTTCTAACTGCCTTTGACTTTTGCACATTAGGTAAGATGCCAACTGTGGTCTCCCCGGAACTGTACCGGACCAGGTTTTGTGAAGCTATGGACAAGTATTTCCTGATGGTGCCAGACCATTGGACAGGGCTTGGCCTGAATTGCTAAACTAAAGCCCATATTGGCAAAGCACAGGTGGACAATGGTGTGTTACAGGTCACTCTCTTTCTGTGGTCTGCCCAGCAGTAAGCAAGAGGATTCCACATCTGCACTGACCACACGTGTCATGTTGTAAGGTGTGAAATTTGCTTGTTGCACTTTAATCCTTTCTTGAAGGATGATGAGTGGGCCAGTCTCATCAAGGATTTAAGCTGTACGGTACCGCTGAAGAGCACTGATGAGAGACTTTCCCTCTGTCTGTAGGGAAGGTGGTGGTATCTCCATGTATGAGCATTGAAACCAACGCTGTCTCTTTCATGGTGGTACAGAAGTACATGATCTCTATAAGTCTTGCACTCCTTAATTGGTATTGAGTATGAGTAGCTCATGTTTCTGTAGTGGATGTGTGGTATTGCAAATGTGAAATAAGCACTCCTGCCCCATGTGGATGAGTGAAGGAAGAATTAAGTTAATTCTGAAGTTATGCTGTGGTTGCAGTGATCTGTAGTTGACCTTTTTAGGACCCAAGAATAACTTATGCGCGTGCTTCTTTTTTCTTTTTAAAGGCAGCTCCACAGCTCTGATGCCATAACTCTCTAAATCACTACAAGTTGTAAGTTACAGTACTGCAGTATGCATCTGTCTCTGTAATTTGATTTTTAGCAGAATCCCATACAAATGATCAGCATATTGCAAACCTTGATATGTATCCCTTCAATCCTAAATAAGAAATTGATTTAAATGTCGCCCAACTCTTTGGAAACAGGTAACTAAAACTGTACCCTTTTATGTAAGAGCTCAGTTATGCTTATGGTTATAAGCATAACCATATATAACAGCTGGTTAACTGTTCCCTTAGCAGAAGGCACCAAATTGATGAAATGCATGCTACCTTACATCGACAACTTTCTCCTTAATGAAACCATTGTTCCTGGCAGATCACTTCAAATCCATTTCAGTTTCCAAAGCCTTTCAAACAGTGAAACAATGCATTTACCTCATGATGGAATTTGGCCAGGAGAATGCTTTTCTCGTATTTGTGACGTGTTGTTGAGAATAAGCATCCCAATCTCATTTAACTCTGCCATTCCTATGTAAAACTTCTCTTCAGCAGTATTAGACTTTTTTTGCACCACTGAGATGATGAATGTAGTCTTCTGTAAAATGAAAAACCTGAATGAACAGTGTTTTCTATGTATGGTGGTTCAGATATGCAGAGACCTGAGAATCTCTGCATTATGACAATAAGCACTTCTTTCCATTTTTATTATTTTTTTTACCTGTTTTTGTAGGTGGCAAACTTACTTTTTAGCTTCAGAATAATATAGGCCAGTAAATAAGAATTTATTTTTTTATGTGAGTTTGAGAGGCAAGAATAGTGTCCTTGGACTTCCACTCTCTGGTGGAAGGACTGACTTCAAACATGGAGTCTGGGACAGTGTAGCTCTTTATGAATTACTCATTCTGACCAATTAGTTGCCTGCTAATGCCATCTTCACTGTAACTGTGAGTCAAAACGTGCATTTTATTCACTCTTCCTCCTATGTTCAGTATTTTCTTTTGCAGCAGATGGTGGCAGTTCTGTTCAGGAGTGACATCTGGGCAGCAGTGAAAGAAAATGACTGAGAACTGAGCTGTTGGATCTGAAAGCAACCAGTACAGTTCAGATCTGAGCTGCTAGGAGGCAACAGTCAGTTACATTGGAAGTCTTTCCCCTTCCCTGAACTGCATTGCAAAGCATTTCTAAACAATGAGCAAAGGTGCTGACCTTGAAGCAGCAGAAACGAAAGTGTTCTCACTTCTCATCCCATCAGTTTCTGGGGATGTAGCGTGGAAAGCTGCAGTGATGTGTGCTGTGGAAAGATGACACAGTAGTGCTTGATTTCTCCGGCGCAGAATCTCTCTAGTTCAATACAGTGCTCTGAGTGAAGATTACCTCTGGAATACATCTTGTCTCTTATATTGATATGCACTCCTGAGCTAGTTAGTTTTTTGTTGTAGGCCCTTGTGTGTAACGAGGAATCAACCTATCCATCAGCTCAATTCTAATCATTTCTGTGGCTTTGAATGTCTATTGATGTGGAAGGAAGAGTGTGATATGTAGCCTGAATCTTTTTTGGTCTCCATTACAGTTTATGTGTGTTCTTTTTTCTTCCCCTTCTAAAATTTACAGGGAAAAATTTGTCTTGTCTGAAATCTAAGGTGACCCAACCTTAGTCAGTATGTGCAGTGGCTGGTGGACCATGAGTTTGGGCAGCGTCATGACATCTGCATTAAGCTGATGTAGAGCTGGGATGTGCTAGCTCTGTTTTGTCACCAATAACCCTTACTCAAGTGCTACGTAGATATTCTGTACTGCTTGTCCTCCAGAGTCTCAAGCAGCTGGCTGTAAAAACAACCTGGTCATCTAATAGTGGCTACTGTTCTCCAGTACATGATTGAATGAGGCCATTGGCAGTGTATGGAATGAGAGAACCTTCCATTCTGGCCAGCTGTTTTGTAGCCTGTGAATGCAGAACCTGGATGTGTGAATTGCAGCCTTTTGGGATAGCAGTCATAGCAGTTGGAGGGGCTTGTAAGAATGATCCTGGTCTGGAATCAGTGGCTAGACTTTAGATCTAGTCATAGGTAGAATAGCAGTGTTAACTGGAATTGGGACATCTTTGGATGGCACTTAACCTGAAGTGGTAAGCATTTCTAGTTCAAATCCCAGAAGCTGGACAGATCTCCCAAGATGTTCTCTTTTCAGAATAAGAATTGTCCTTGCATTTCACTTGCTATGAAGCTGGATTTCACAGAAGAACAGTAGTTTCTGCAGAAGATATCTTTGAGACACCTCTTTGTTAGACCTGTGAACTTGCAGCATATGCAAGGATGTCCTAAGGGAACAGTCTGAGTGTTAAACAAGCCCTTTGATTAGAGTATTTCATTTCTTGTTAACACAGGTTTAGTATGTGTGTGTAAACAAAATCCAGTTGTAAATGCAAAGACTTCTGCAACCTTTCTGAGTTAGGCTGGCTCTTGTGTTTTGGTCTGTGACAGACATGTAAATCTTGTCCCAGTCAGAAGTGGTAACTTGTCTACATGACGCTTCTAAAGCAGCAAAATGTCTTGTGGTGACCCAGAGCTGCATTCTGTCCCTAGACACACACGTGAGGGACTCTTGCTGGTTAAGGAGCTCCACTGGAGTTACCTGTGGAATGAGTGGTCTGTCCTCTGTGAGAATGACCAGAACCAAACTAATCACTCGCTGGTAGGAGTCTGGACTATTCAGAGCACTTAATGTATCATAATGTATGTATTCCTAATCTACGTTGCTTCAACTGTATTTTATAAAATTGATGTACTAAACTATTTGAGAGTAACTACCTTTAACTTGGAGAATCAAAATGTAATGTATATAGATAAAAATACAAATAAAGTGACTAAAATATATTTGGGTCCAATCCCTGTGATGTAGTGGTTATCTTTCTTACAGCATCCCTCTTTCCTGCTCACATGGCAAGGCCTGTGCTTGCTCAGTGTCAATTGCTCTGCTGAAGGTTTCTAGCTTTGCGTGCAGCATAAGCGTGCCTGAAATCTCTGCCTTGTAGTTTGACTATTCTGCTGAAGCAGGCATTGACTATTCTGGTGATCTGCTGGCAGCTCTCCAGCTCAGCCTTTATAAAACGTGCAAATAACCTGTTGTACACTTCTCCTGCCTTTCCTCTTTGCAGCTGCTTTTCAACAGTGCTGTGTGAGATAGAGCATTTTACCCAGCAGGCGGCGGTGTTTCAATGACCCAATTCTTCCAAGAGGCAGATCTTCAGAAAACATCTCCAGGTATTTATGCAGTTTTCTCAGAAGTGGATAAGGTTAAACTTTCTTGGATTGTTATTTTAAAAGTGAAATGACTTGCCTTAATTGCTTCATATTGTTAGTACATAGTAACTTTCTTTCTTTAAAGCTAAAAATGATGTGCAGTTAAATCTGGGAGGGGGACTTGCTGGTTCCTAGACAATATTAAAAATTAAAATGTAAGGAATACCCCTGCAGTATGTGCCATCTCTGCTTTTGCCAGATGAGTCTCAGTTTTATCTGCTACTGTATGAATCTATCAGAAGCAGGATGGGGATGTCCATCAGTATGGAAGATTTGGTTAGAAGAAAACTGAGTTACTTTTATCTTACTTAGGTAGATCTGTGAAACTGATGCAGTTTGTTTGGTGAGATGCCGTGTATTTGTTATGCAGTGTTCCACAGCTTCTCTCCCAGGAGAAACCAGCTGTGGTGGAACAGAGGCTTTTTGTTGTGTGGGAGTGTAACGTGCTGCTCAGTTAATTCATTGGGAACTTGCCACTTATTGAAAACTTAACATGTCAGCATCATTGTCTGTGATGTTATGAAGATTGTCAGCAATTTCCTGGTAATGCAAACAGCGCTGAGGTATCGCTAGTTTGTCTTACAGCATTAGTCCTGAAGGTGTGTGCTCACATACTGAGTGTGTTTTGGTTTTGAATGTAATCATGATCCCGATTAGTTTGTATTCAAGTCACAAATTTTTCCTTTTTTGACTGTGACTGAGTTTTGATTTAGATGATTTGATTTAGATGTGGGAAGACCAACTTGAATAAAAACAAATGCAAGTCTTCTCTTTCTAGCTAATATATTACGGAAGTCCCAAGGACTGTAGGTAACCCTGACTGAGGAACACTTGAATTTCTCAGAATGACTAGAATATTTTGCTTGTATCTATCTCTTGCTGCCTTCTGTGTATAATAAATTACTTGTGGCTGAATGCATTTACAAATTTACTAAGTACTGTCCTGTGAATATTATGAAGTCAAATGTAAATCCACAGCAGAGAGACAAGTTTGGCATTCTGAGCAGCACTTTATTGAGAAAACAAAGTATTTCCATGTGTAACTCCTATTGTCTTCAGTAATTTTTGTCAGTTCAGAAGCTATGAAAAATAGTACTCTTCTAAAGAACAGAATTTACACTATCATGTATGAGGAGACATTCTACTGTACAGTGTTTGTTATTAAATTAAAAAGGCACTTGCTTTCCTGTTTGCCAAAAGATTTCAAACAAAAAACAAACCCAAAACATATTTGCAGAGAAAGGAAAAGTGGCAATACCAAAAAAGTTAAATACGTCCACAGAATACATTCATATGTAAAAAGACAACAGTAATGTTATGACCTAATAACTTAAACAGATGCTTCTTTAGCATAATTCAAATTCTGAAAGTTGATGTTTGGAAACACAGTTGAGTCCTTGATTTTTTTTTTTTTATTTTTAATTATTAAAAAAAAAAACAACCAAAAACAACACAGCAGAAGCCCCAAACCTCAAAGCCAAACAAGAGCTCTTCAAAGTTATGTTCAGCCTGGCACCACCAGTGCCACAGTATCATAATGTGCCCAAGGGCAGGCATGCTGTGTATCAATGAACCTGTCCTGCTACCCCTTCCTGATTTAACTTTTTCTTAGCAGTTTACCAGACAATAACACATACTTAAAGCGGAGTAATCCCATCTTTCAACTAGACAATCCCTCATTGTGTTTCTGCAT